AGGCCTTCACACAGCCTGAAGCAAGCACCCTAAACATGCACAAGCTGCTCAGTTCCTCAAGCAGTTAGCTCTCAGCCCTTGTCTCAGTTCTGACCCTGCTATTTGGCTGAACAGGAACATCCAGTTAGTGCCACTACCTGATAACTATGATCTTCTTCATAGCTTCATAGATGCTCAGGCTGTTTCCAGTGTAACTGGTGAAGCCTCCGGCCCCTTTCAGAGCATTGCTTTCCATATGGATGATGTGAATCCAGGTCCTTCCTGCAGGCTGAAATCCCAGTCACAGCATAATTACATTCAAGATTTAAAGTTAGGGAGGCAAAGAATGTTTTCAGGATGTCCCTCTTGAGCATTTGCTGGGATCTCCTGGGTTTGATGTCTGCAACGGAACTCCCACTTCATCATTGTCAAAATGGTGTGAAAATGTCCAGGGTTTACTGCAAACCAGATGGGACTTTCCTAGAACAGTGTAGCTGGTCCCTGCTCTGACCCAAATCAAGATTACTTTGGCATGTGTTGTGTTTAAGCTCTTTGCAAACATCTCCACCTCTGTCAGTGATGCCCGAGTCCTCAGACTACTCTAGGCTATTGCAATGGAGGATATTTGAACATGTGTTAAAGCCTAGCCTCTGGGACAGGATAGGACATAATCCCCAGAGGGAAGGGATAGAAACCTGACCATTGCGATCTGCTCTGCTCTCATTGTGGAGCACCGGAAGGGGAGGGAATCAGTGCTCTTGTTACCATCTATAGAGGAGAGGGAACGGACTGGCCTGTCAAATGAGTAGTCTTCTCCGTCCTGGATCTCATGATCTCTGAAGTACTCAAGTGTTGTTTGCCCAATCAATCAGCATTTTGCATTTAAGATGTATTGAACCATTTGTCTCTAGTGTAACTCCTACATCTGTGTTAAAGTTGCTGATGAACTTAAATGGGCCCCACGTGCTGATCCTGAAGGTGTTTCTCAGATCACATCTCTGGGTCTCCACAGAGCCCAAACCAGTCTTTTGTTTCCATCTGCTGTTGCTGGGTTGCAATAGGACACAATCCATTAAGGCACATGTCGGAAAGTGACTTTGAACCCCTATTGATTTTGTAGGGATTTACTTGTGTTTGCTCAGTGACTGTTTACCTTGGTAATTCCTACAGGCTGTAGAGGGCAATGCTCTTTGCCAAGTGTTTTACTGCCCAAAGCAGATGCTTGAGTTTTACTTTTTATCACTGCAAATGATGCATTGCCGCAGGATCCAGCTCACCTCAGATGCTAGGGAAAGCATGTTCCTGTGAAAAACCTGCATTTCTGGTGGGAACTCTCCCAGCAACTGTCTGGATTTCTCTTCATATTGGTTAATAGAAGAACATTTGCAGCTTTCCAAAGGCAAGCTGGAAATAGAATAGGGATGGTGCAGTCTCACTTGTGTTGGTAAAACAGGTGAGGAAAGTGGAAATAGTTCCTGATCCACAGGATTCCAGAGCTGTGAGTGATATGAGAGCAGGATGGTGAGCTTGGATCAGGGTTTGTTGTGTAGTCCTCTAAGTAATGTGAAGATGCAGTGCTTTTCACATCAGGTTGACAGTAGCCTTGTGGCATAATCCATCAAAAATATTATTAGATCCATATTAGAAGAATTGGGGTAGATAAGAAAAGGCAGAGATAAGGTATCACCCAGTCAATGCTCCATAGCATTCACATGGTTAGGAAAAATGCCCTTACTGCTTCTGCCCTAGGAATGATAGTCCACAAGCTTTGTTTTCAAGTCCTCTGCGATGGCAGTTCTCTAATTCTCTCAGATGTCAGAGCATCGATGTTGAATGGCCATTTTCATTAAGTCAGACTGTTGGGGTCATTCCAGTTGAGATATGGTCTTGCCATAACATAATTAACAGTTGTATTAATAGATAAAACCCGTAATGATCCCTTGCAGGTCATGTACAAAAAGAGCAGCAGCATTGTACACCCCTTCCCTGTGCTGCTTGCTCTGCTCCAGCATGATGGGGATGATAAAAGGTCTTTATAAAACTGCTAAAGAGCTGAAGGGAAAAGGAATGCCATCCCAGCCTTACAAGATCTTATGACTTGGGAGATGTTTTTAAGGAGATGTTGAGAAAGGCAGAGGCACCAGTGAAATTGCTCCCACTGCCTTGTTTGTTGGAGCTACCCTGTTTTTGCTATGCTACTGTGAATAAGGGTCTTGTGTCCTCTCTCACTGTGGCTTGGAGATTGTTTGGTGGATGCTGCTGGTCTGATTCCCCATGGCTTTTGAAAATTCCTGCAGCTTGGCTGAGGTCTTGGGATGACTCTGTATATATGGGAGCCAGAACACACACTGGAGTCATCCAGGGAGTGAGGACCAAAGCTGGGGTTGGCACACTGTAAATCATCCTGCCCCTAAGCATCATTTCAGCAGCTTTTCCCAATCAGCCTGCTAGCTGTGGCCTGTAAGACCCTCTTTTCCCACCTCTGAGACTGCGGATGCACCTTGCTGTGCTGCAGTCACTCTGCTATGGTGATCCACCACAGAGCAGTGTGGAATGTCCTCCTGCATCCCCAGGTACCATTGGAGTTTCTTGGTTTGGTCGAGGCTGGCTGTGTGTGCCAGCACAGGGTTGGCATGTGGGATGGTGCAGCACTTGGGGCAGACGTTTGGCAAATTGGGTATCATTATACTTACAGAAGTTGTTGTAGGTTCTCCCCTTGGTGTGGCCAAGTAGGGCCCTCTGCATGTGGAGATGTCAGGCTGAAAACAAGGATGGGGGAGTGAGAATTGGCTGATTTCACTGGGGTGGCATTTGTGGTCTTTAGAAACAATCAAATAGTATTTTCATCCATCAGCTCTGTTGAACTCTTTTTATGGGTTTGCTTCCAGTTCTCAGGAAAAAAAATCCCAGACACTAAAAATGGATGGCTGGAGAAGGTCCAGGCCACCTGTCTGTATAGCACAGAATCCTAGAATGGTTTGGGTGGAAGGGACCTTAAAAATCATCCAGTTCCAAACCCCTGCCATGGGCAGGGACACCCTCCAGTGTCAGTTCATAGTTGTCTTACAAAAGATCAGTTCGCAGTTGATGTAGAGAAGATTACGAAGAGCTGCAAAGATAACAGCTCATGTGAGTATTAGGTTTAAATGAGCAGTCCTGTGTCTAGAAGGGTGTATTTCTCTTAAGGAAGATATCCCAGAAATCCCACTGCGGATTATCATCTGGCAAGACTGAAAATCAGAAATCAAGCCTGAGCTCTATCCATGCCTAGTTTCTTGGGACAGGCTTAGCTTGTAACTAGCTTGTAACACTCTTCTATCCCATTTTGCCACACCATGAACCCCCAACTCAACTGGACGTGAGGTTCAGTTCAGCCTCCAGCTAATAGGAAATATAACTCACGTTGTCCTTTGCATCCCTGCTCCTAACTTGCACCTCAAACACACATGGTCACTGCAGGCGCTGGTGAATGTAATATAAGATCGTCTGGCCCTATGACATGTGACAGCATTTGTATGAGTGGCTCTGGGTTTGTTTGTTGGGTTCGTTATTTCTCTTTTGCATGAGTTCATGAGGTTTGGGAGCCTTTATTCATGGCTGAATGATGGGGAAGGAGCTGTGGGCAGGCAGGTTTAATTGTCTTTCTCAAAGCAAAGGTTTGCTGGAATTTGGTACTTAACGGCTCTGAACCACTACAAAACTTTCTGGTACATACACCACTGGGCTGGGGGAGGATTATTCCCTGGGAGATGCAGTTCCCAGAACAACCTAGTACTCGACAGAACTGCACCTAAGATGTATCCCACTTGGTTTTCCAGCTAAAACAGCCCTTTTGGGGAGTATTTGCACTGCTGAGCACTTGCATTTTTCACATTTTTATTGCATAGGAGGCCACATCGTCCCCATTTTATGTAGCCTCCTTAACCTCTGGGAGATGGAAGTATTCAGATCTGGGTGGTGCAAACCCCAGCACTGCAGTCCCTGGCCTGTTTTGCCCAACAGGTCTTGGAACAAGGTCTCATTGTGATGGTAATTAGTATTTATTGACGCTGTTCAGATGCAGCGGGGCAAACACGGGTTCTCAGATATGCTTACATAAGGGGCAGCACAACCAATGCCTGGCTCCTGCCAATAAACTAATTGTTTTTGCTGGGACAGCATCTCTGCTGGAAAAGGAACTAGAAATCAATTTCTGGCTTCCAGCAAAGGTCATGCGTTCCTGATATTTAAACTCACCATTGCATCTGTGATCATCACCTTTTCTGCACAAAATTAATCCAAGTTTGGGTTCCAAATCCTTTCCTGGCTCTGTTCATAGAGTTTAATCTTTAAGTGAGTTACTGGGGTGGATAATTCCCTACACCCGTGGGCAAGCACAGTGTCTGAGCAGCAGTGAGGCTATTCCCACCAACTATTCCTCTTTGGTCCTGCTGTCTTGATCCCTGTTTAGATACCTTTTAGGGGGAAGAAAGTGTGGTTGATGTTAATATTTGCTCTGAGGAAGATAAAATACAGGTTTCCTTCAATATCCAAGGTCTGGGAAGTTCCTGCTTAGACACAGAGGGAGTATTTTACTGAGCAAGAAAGCAGCTTTGGTAGTTGGATTATTGCAATGTACATGCTTTAGGTGTGTGATGTACTTTAGTATCTTTCTTAAAATCCTGACAAACGCTCTTTTCTTGCTCACTGTAAATGAGGGAAGCACTGTCCTAATTAAGTGGACACAAGCAACGCTCAGCTTCCCAAACTGCTGTAAAAGCAAATGCTGGAGGACAGTTTCTGTTGTGGCTGTACTGGTCGGGGGGGAGCCGGAGGCTTTTGCTGATGGGGGCAGAACTTGGTTTAATGAGATCAGACACAGAAGAAAGAGCTGGGGAGTAAGCACCAGGGGAGCAGAGGGTCGCGATGGGCCAGGACCCCTGTTAGGGAGGCGGTTGATGGAACCGGTCTGTGCCCCTGTTGGTGCAGGCACAGCTCCTCCCAGGGATGCTCACCCCCCTCCCAAACCCAGTGGCCTGCCTTCCCCGGAGGCGTTTGAAGTTTCACTTGATTCGCACACCCTGCATAAAAGCAGGCGGCTTCGCTGAGAGCAAACATCTCCTTCCACCCCAGCCGAGCGAGGCGGACCAGGTCTGGAGCTGCCTGCAGCAGTGGGCAGGACCGCGGGGACAGGCAGGGCTGCCCGCCCGGGTCCGGGAGTCACCCGCAGCGATAGGCACCGTGCCAGCCCTGCTCCAAGCCTGGCTCACCCAGCAGACCGGCTGCGGTGCTGCCAGGGACCGGGTGGCCTGCCTGCATCTCTGCCCATTTACATGGGCGGCCATAGAGGTGGGGCAGAGCTCTTTTTCTCTCTCCACATCATCCGACGGTGCGGGAGAGTGAGCACTCGGGGTAGTGAGTAACGGGACCGGCTTCAGTCATCGTCGGGACGATGGGGAGGAAGCTGGACCTCTCCAAGCTAACGGATGAGGAAGCCAAGCACGTTTGGGAAGTCGTTCAGCGAGACTTTGATCTGCGGAAAAAAGAGGAGGAACGGCTGGAGTGAGTATCTGCTCTCTGGTCCGTGAGGTTGGGTGCGAGCAAGGTGTGGGTCCCTGTACGCACTCCTGCGGGTAGGATGTAGGAATCAGACGATGCATCGAGGCTGTGTGTGAGGAGGAACAGCCAGGACCAAGCTGTGAAAATCAAACATAGTGGTGAATAGATGACGTTATCAGCGTCAAGGTGACAAGTTCGGGCTGCAAAGGTGCAACCTGGCGCTGTGCCATCAGCGGCGATGCGGATCAATGTCATTACCGTGGCTTATAGGGACACATATATGGGCCTCACTCAGGAAATGCTTTTGTGGGGCTTGGTGCTGGCGTGGCTCTCACGGGGAGACCTTACGTTGGAGCAAAGGACGGGATTTGGCAACCTTGCTTTTGTTTCATGTGATGATACCTGTGTGTTCAGGACACAAGAGTTATTCGGTGATTCAGTGGGTCCTGGGAGTCTAAAGACTCCTGAAGGATTCTGGAAAAATAACTGAGAGGAGAAGTAAACCGTAATTGCCTTAAATAGGCTCCACTGGGCGGTGTGCCATACTTGGGAAGTTTTAGGGGGTCACACATTGGGAAAAGGACTGAAAAGTCCCTGGAGCAGCAAATGGATGTGCCGTCTAAGCTGTTATAAACACGTCATTTGGCAAAAGTGTTGTCTAAAAAATGTTGGTCGGATTAGATTAATTTTTTAGCATGAGAAATCACGGGGTTTAGGTCTTGTTCATTAATTACATCAGGCATTGGACTTAGTAATTTCTTAACTGTATTTCAAAAGCTGCAGTGTCCTCGTTCAGGGTCTGGCCAAGTTCTCATTATTATCCCAAGCGGTATTATCCGAAGGGTATGGCCCGTGCTCCCAGGCCAGGTTTGGGCAGTGCTGCACTCCCACTGGGCTCTCCTAGCTCTGGGTTTTGTGAGCCACGGCTGGTGCTGATGGCCAGGTGCTCATTGCTTGCTTTGTCAGAGCCAAAAGGAGAGGTGAGGGGTGACAGTTATTCTGCATTTGGATATCTACATCTGTGCTGCTGAATCCTGCCCCCAGGGCCCGCTGGTGTGTGTTCACACCATGCTGTGTGTGAGCCGTTCCATTTACACCAGTAGCCACAGGAAGCTCTCACTCATATATTTTTAACCTCCTGATTACATTTTTTTCTTGCCTAAGAAAACGCGCCCTGTGTAGGAGGCAGAGATAACTCGGTATCGTCATCTGCTGCCTTCCTTTGCTGGTAGCAGGACGGCAGATCAGACATGGCTGTTGAAGCACATCATCACCCTGGGAAGGGTGAATGACTCCCTTGTGATGGATCTGAGCTGTGCCTGGAGGAAGGAGGTGGGGACAGACATTGACGTACCCTGCAGCAAAGGAGTGGGGAGGTGAATTCGGTACTTAGCTGACTTTGGCGCCAGACTGGCTTCTCTTGGGTCCCCTCTGATGCCCTGGGGGCTCTCAGACGGAGTGCCCTGGAACATGAGCTGTGAGGCAGGGGGCACGTGTACCCAGCTTCTGAGCAACCTTGCCTCTGTCCCAGCAGTCACAGCTTTTACATTTCAATGTTGGTGTCTCACAGAGGGCTGGCGTTAACCCAGCAGTGCCTGGCACTGCCTGAGTCTCCGGGGTAGAGCACGCTACCCGGTCCCAGGCTTGGTTGCCTCTCTGCAAGCTAAAGCCAGACATCAGATGTTTCTATAACGCCCTGGCATAGAGTAGACCACCAGTCTGGGGAAATGCCACATTCCTGCAGGCTGGACATGAGAGCATTTTCTACCTCTAACAAGCTGGGACATGATGTGACATTGTGGGAGACCCTGAAGCCATTCACCCTGCTCCCTGTGCTCTGACCACCCCCATGGACTTTTCTGTTCATTGGCTTTTCTATTCACTGGGCTTGTCTCAACATGCAAACCTTAAAGATTTCTTCCCTTTCCCTTGTTCCCACCCCCTTTACCCCAGCTTGGTCTTTTTCTTCCCTTTCTGTTGCTTCTCTGTGTTTTCTTTTTGGCTAAAGATACTCCCCAACAATGGACAAAGGTTTCAGCTGGCCAGAAACCACATGGCCATGCAAGAGGAATGCTTTGCCCAAGAAATGAAATAATGGCCACTTTGTGGGGGCTCTCCTTGGTTCTTTCCATACACATCCCTGCCAGCAGCCCCATTTCTGGGGGACAGCTCTCTGCGTCTCTCCAGAGCTCAACTGGATGGACCCCGCTGCAGTTTGGCATCCCACAGCAGCCTATTCATTCTGCCATGAGCAGAGCAGGGAAAGGGCTGGTCTGTGTTCCTGCCAGCAAGAGGAGACAAGAGGTGTGCAGTCCCTGTGGGTTTTAAACTGGTTTGGTTGGGACTTGTCCTTCCTTTGGCAGGTCTCGTGGGCGAGGGAGGGGAGGTGAAGGGATCCGACCGGTCCCTGGGAACCAGAAAAAGCAGTCCTGTGGAAGATCAGATTTTGCTGGAAACAGCCTTAGCATGGGAGTGGAAAAGGAGCTCTGAGCCCAACCCAAGCGTTTTCTATGTGGGGGATTGTTTTTAGTACCCACAGGTAAATTACTGCTGAGGATTTGCACTACGCTGTTCATAACACTGTGGATATTTAAATGCAGCACTAGGTGCACAGTTCAGGCTTTATACTGATTTTTACACATTCCAGATCCTCAGCTAATGCAAGTTGGTGTCACTCCTGTGTAACAGTGAACGCAGCCCAAGGTGCTGGCAGGAAGCTGATAGGAAAAGTTCTGTGTTGTATCCCCCTTTAACAAACCCCAAGAGCTGATCTCTCATGTGCAAACTGATTTGGTTAAACAGAGATTAGCTTGATTTGCTTTCACATCAATCTCACCACCAGTCACATCACTGCTCCCATGGATGCCCCTGCACCATGCTGCCACACCACATGGCTCCTGCTGCCTGGGGGGCACTGGCAGCACCACCAGAAGCCTTTGGTCCAGACTGTGCTTCTGAAGCAGCCTCTGGTCATGACTGATTGAGGGTTTTGGCCCAGGCTGACTTCTACCTTGGAAAATGCAGCTTCCAAACCCTGCCTAGGCAGAAAACAACCTTCTAGGGACCTTCCCTACAACTCAAATATTGCTTCTCAGCCATGGCCCCAAAAGCAAACATACCTGAAGCAGTGCGTGGGGCAGGGAACAAACAGAAAGCCTTTGGGAAGTGCAATGGGCTCTCACCAGCTTGGCAGGCATTTTAGCTGGCATTGGCTGTCACAGGGGATTCAGCCTCACACAGGCAGCTTCTTGAACGGGGGCCTGCAGCCCCATTCCGAACAGCAAAGGAATGCTGTTCAGCATTCTGAACAGCAGCCAGGTCTGGACAGCAAGGGAAGCCTGCAGTGATGGACTGCCAGGAGAAGGTGCTTTTGGTAAGCACTTGTGTTGGCCAGTCTTTCACAGGACTGTCATGAACATCTCCTGCTGCTGTTCTCTGAGCAGCCAGAACCTCGCTGCACATCACTTCTGCCTTTATTAAAAGCCTTGGCTGAATCTAGCACCGAAACACTAGATTAGAACCCCTTTTAGTCCTTTTAAATCTCAGACTGCTTTTCCTCCCTCCTCTCAGAATTCCAGAAAGCTTTTCATTCCCAGCTGAACTTCAGGCTGAAAGATTGTGCTGGGATGGTATCAGCCAGACACTTTGAGCAGAGCCACCCTCCTGAGATTCCTGGAATTGATCAATTGACCTGTGAAGCAAATGGGACAGGTTTTGGCTCAACCAAATGCAATCTCAACAGCAGCAGATTCTAATGTATATTGGCCTGCCTGGACTCTGGAGCCCACTTCTTTCTTCAGCTTATGTAATCGGTGGTATATCGGTTATTGGATTTGCCCTGCAGTGGTTTCCACAAGCTGTGGGACTCAGGATGTTCTCTGGAAAATCATTGCCGCAATGATAGGGGTGTGATGGGGTTTTGCCATGTTGGAGCTCACAGTGAAATGGTCACAAAACCAAGTTCCTGTGTTTTGGGATGTGTTTTTGCAGGGAGCTAAAATGCAAGATCAACCAGGAGAGCAGCAAGAGAGAGTTCCTGACAAATCAGTCCCACCTCAACGAAACCCACTGCGTCCACTGCCTCCAGCCCTTCAAGTTCCTGCTCAACAGCAAGCGGCAGTGCCAGGACTGCCACTTCTACACCTGCAAGAACTGCAGCCGCTACAACAAGAAGGAGCAAGGCTGGGTCTGTGATCCCTGCCGCCTCTCCAGGTACCTGCAACAGAGGGCGAAGGGCAGGGCAAGCCTTGGGGCTGAGGCTGAAGATGGGTCACCCAAACTCAGCATCCCTTTATGCTGCTTAGAAACCAATTCTGCTGACTAGAAAACAAACTGGTTTTGTTAGGAGATGGTTTCTGGGTGAGGGTCTGGTCACCACGAGTGTGGCCAGACTTGCTCACCTCGTACATGCACTGTCTCTTTGGGCAGGATCGTGAAGATCGGCTCCCTGGAGTGGTACTATGAACATGTGAGATCCCGTTTCAAGAGGTTTGGAAGTGCCAAAGTGCTTCAGTCCCTCTACGGCAGGCTGCAGCCGGGGCATGGCAACAACTCTGTGTTTCTAGGTAAGGAGGGCACCGGCGTTCCTCCTGTCCTGCTGCGCATGGGGAGTCTGCGCAGCACCCTGCTGGGATGCACCAAGGGAGGAAAATGAGCACTGATGCTGCTCTGAGTGCCTTGTGGCTTCCAGACCGTTCAAAACATCCTGGGGAGGAAGCAGAGGTTCCGAGCTGTTTGCTCACACTGCAAGCAGCACACCGCCTGTTATTGGAGGACGCTGAGAGGGCTTCAGCACCTCTCCTATGGAGCCAGGCTGAGAAAGCTGGGCTGGGTCAACCTGGAGAAGGCTCCTTAAGGGGAGACCTTAGAGCAGCTCCAGTGCCTAAAGGGGCTGCAGGAAACCTGGAGAAGGGCTTTGGCTAAGGGCCTGTAGGGACAGGACAAGGGGAATGGCTTTAACCTGCCAGAACAGGGGAGACTGAGATGAGCTCTTAGGCAGAAGCTCTTCCCTGTGAGGGTGCTGAGGCGCTGGCACAGGGTGCCCAGAGAAGCTGTGGCTGCCCCATCCCTGGCAGTGTTCAAGGCCAGGTTGGACACAGGGGCTTGGAGCAACCTGCTCTAATGGAAGGTGTCCCTGCCCATGGCAGGGGGTTGGAACTGGGTGAGCTTTAAGGCCCCTTCCACCCAAAGCCATTCCTTGGTTCTATGATTCTATGATTTTTAACTCTGTTGAGATTTGCATTTTCACCACAGATTTCGGAATATCTGGTGCTTTGTTTTAACAAGTATCCTGTCCTGCAGTTTGTGTGTAAGAGTTGCAGCTCTTGTTTTTCTTTCTTTTAGCTCTTTTTGTCACTGGGGAGAGCTTGTGAGATTAGCCCAAGTTTAACCTGCAGGGCCAGTACATCCAGCTGGCTGGATAAGGCAGCACTTACTGTTTCCCTTGATCTAATGACTTTTACAGCTGATCTGGTGATGGTCTGGCACTGAACAAACAGTATCAATATTATTGAGTTTCCTCTCACCGTAATTATTTCCTTCAGAGCTCTAAGGAGCTTCAGTGTTCCTGATATTGGTCCAATAGTGCATGAACATGTGCTGAAAGCTGTTGTTAATACAGTGTTATTCACTGGTAGCTGCTGGCTGCCATTCGCATGTACTTTGTGTGTTGATTTTGAAAACCAGTGTGGATTTTACCCCTTCTCTGTGGAGCCATAGAAAAGTTTGCACAAATGCCATAGACGTGAGCTGCTTCTGTTGGTCCAACCCAGACCTTATCCAGACCACTCATGGCAGAAATAACCACAGCATGAAGGGCAGTGACATTAAATATACAATTAATGCACTTGGAGACAAATCATGCAACATTTAGTCTGAAAACACATCAGACCACAGGGAAAGGACAATCTGAAAGCCAAGCCAGTTCTGAGGATGGCAGTGCTTTAGGCTTCTTTATGTTGAGAGTCTGATGTCTTTTTAAAGATTAATTGTTTTATTGTTATTACTTCATTACCACCAGTGAATTGACTTTACCCTTAAGCAAGCAAGAGCCTCCTCTTGGGGCCTATCTCTGGCTGCAGGACATGGAGCAGAATGATGCAAAACCACTGCATTTTATGTGGCTATCTGCTGCTGCACTGCCAGACATGCTGCATCAGGTCCATGGAAGTGATGGCAGTAAGGTCTTTGAGTCAAGTCCTGCCTTAGAGTGCTTCTTTTATACTCTCTTTTTGATGACTTTCTGATGACTGTGCCTTGTGATGGCTGAAGAATGAGAACTGCAGTTATCCATAGCTCTGAGGCTTGTTCTTTCAGAGGTACCTGGAGAAAATATGCTTATTTACTTTTCCCACAATTTTTCTTTCCATTTAGGTCTTCAGGACAGAGTTTACAGCCTGCCAGACATTAACAGTGAGTACAAAAGAGAATTGCAGCATGTGGTTCGCAGTTCAAGAGAGGTTTCCAGTGTCTTTTCCTCTTCACACCCTCTGGCTATGGGCTCTCCAATGCAGTTTGGTGTGGCTGGAGCAGGGAAGAATGTCTCCACTGCAGTGGAGGTGGACTGTAATATCTGTCTCTTGCACTGCTGTACACCTGGGGTGTCAAAGGGTAGGCTTGGATGAAACATGGCTTTTAGCTACATGCCAAACTTGAAGCTTGCAAGTACTCACCATCTCAATGCACCCATGTCATATACTTAAAGCTGGCCTTATTATTAAGGGACCCACAGAACTCAAGGCCTCCGGTTGCATTCCTTAGGAGCCCTTGCAGGAGAAATTCACTGCACCTTGCCATTTGATAAAAGAAAAAACATTTTGCCTACCTTGACTTTGGACTTGGTCTGGCATTTGTGTTGTTCCCAATGTACTGCTGGGCTTGGCAGCGATCTGGGTACAGAGACGGGGACCACAAATCAGTGAGTCACTGACAGCAGAGCTGGATGATAGGAATCAGGACCATCAGCAGAGCTGTGTTAGGCTAGCTGTGCTGCTTTCAAACACCAGAGTCACTCAGGTGGACCTTGAGGTGCTCTCTGCAATGCGGGTGCCCTTATTCTTCCTGTAGTGGTCACTTCCACACCTTTGAGAGCATACCTCTGGAACGGAAAGCAATGAGTGCCCAGAGAAGCTGTGGCTGTCCAATCCCTGGCAGTGTTCAAGGCCAGGTTGGACACAGGGGCTTGGAACAACCTGCTCTAGTGGAAGGTGTCCCTGCCCGCGGCAGGGGTTGGAACCGGATGAGCTTTAAGGTCCCTTCAACCCAAACCAGGCTGGGATTCTAAACTGGACTTTTTCATTCCATATAAGCAGCATGGTGTGATCACCACAGAAGGCACCTCCCCAGGAATGGGGTGCAGGAGATGCCCTTACACAGCATGCCATTGTCTCCCCTTCAGGTGAGTGCCAGCTCCTCGCCAGTAGTGATGTTGGGGATGGCAGTAATGATGAAGACAACGTCCTTCGTGGAGCTGAAGCGGAGTGCTACAGCAGAGTAAGTGTTTCATTCTGTGGCTCCTTCCTCCTCACTCTGTGCCCTCAGCTGCTGCTAGGCTGCCTTGGGTTGTGGTGGTGGTGGTGGTGGTGGTGGGTTTCTATGCCACATTCAGATTTGGGCCTTTCTCTCTGTTTTCCTTCTCCGAGATAAGCCCCTCTCCCACTCTGTGTAGGAACAACCAAATCAATAAAACCACAAACACTTGTGCTCTGTAAAAAAGATCCACTCCTGGCATGAAGAATGTCTCTAATGAATATCACAGTCCCAGCCCCTACCCATATAATGAGAACCCACCTGGGGTGGTTTTTACTAGAAGAGGTATGTAGCAAAGCACAGATGGGTCCATGAGTATACTGAATTATCTCCTGGGTTTTTCTGGGACTGTGTGCACAGATTAAGGAGCCTGATGGGAAGAGTGTGTGTCCCTGTAGCATGTGTGAAATCTGTCGGTATGTTTGAGTTGCTGGTTACAGCTACAAACATGCTGTCACATACATGTCATCTAAGTCTATGGATACAGGTATGTGCTGCATTTCACATACTAGTGTTAAGGCCAGGTTGGACAGGGCTTGGAGCAAGCTGCTCTGGTGAAAGGTGTCCTTGCCCACAGCAGGGATTTGGAACTGGATGAGCTTTAGGGTCCCTTCAAACCCAGACCATTCTGTGATTCTATGATGCTTCATTCTGATCTGCTTCTGAAGACTGAGAAGCTTGTCCAAGCTGTTCCTGCCCCAAGGCAGCTGATGACCTCCCAGATATCTGGGAAGATCTGCCAGCAGCATCCTTTCTCTGAAGATGGGGAGATGCTTCAGGTATCGAGAGCATCTCCCAGATTTCTCCCTGAGCTGTATCCTCACTCAGCTTTTCCTCAGTACCTTTATAAACCAGGAGAGAGCTTCTTACCGTCTGCTCATGGCAGCAGTCCTGAGCCAGAGACGAGAAGTCAGGAATCCACTTTTCCTTGACTCCGGCACAAGCACAGGGTGCCCTATAAACCTGCCTCCCTGCAAGCAGGACAGTGTCAGACCCAAAGTGCCTCTGCAGGAAGCAGGAGCCTTGCTTGATGCTCTGCAGACTGAGGCACACTGGGGGGACAAGGGCCCTCCCTCCCAATTCCTTTTGAGGTCAACTGTGATTTATGCTGAATTCTCCTTTCTTGCACTTCCCACACTAAGATGTGCAAGACAAAGCGCCTGCTGTCTGTGCATCCCTTTGATTTTGAACTGGACTCGGAGTATTCTGCTCAATCTCGTCGCCAGTCTGCACAGCTCTCTCCAGCAGCCAGCAGCCCGGATGCTTTCCAGGTACTGGGAGAGTGCTGGGGATTTCCTTTCATCTCTTCTTTCTGTCTCTGCTACCCCCTTCTTCAGCTGGTGTTGAGAGGCAGTGGTGCCAGTCCTTGCTCCCCATAGCTCTCTCTTTGTCCATTTGAAGTCATTTGACTCAGGCTGAGTCAGGAGTAGAACATCTGACTGAGCCAAGGATGAGGGTAAGATGAGATAGAAGAGGTTTTCTGGCCTTTTCCCTGCAGATTTCTTTGCTCTCTGCAGACAATGCTTTTCCTTGTATTATCCCAAGGCTGTGACACCCTGGTTTCCAGCAAGCTTTTGGAGGTTCAGTATTCTGGGTTGTAGAGATGTTGGGGAGTTTGTTTCATGCTTGCATTAAAGGTGAGGAAGTTTGGCCAGGTTGGATGGGGCTTGGAGCAACCTGGTCTGCTAAACAGTCTCCCTGCCCATGGCAGGGGTGTTGGAACCACATGATCTTTAAGATCCATTCCAGCCCAAATCATTCTATGATTTCACTCATGGGATAAAATGAAACCAGACTCTGCTGCCATCATCCTGTCCAGTTTGGGGCTGGTTTTGCCATGAGGTGGCACTGGGGGGATGTATTTGGCCAGCACTTTCCTGGGGCACACAGCCTTTGTGAGACTGAGGCATAAATCCCACAGAGCCAATGTGACTGCAGTGATGACACCTGCAGGGTGGGCGACTCAGTCAGAAGTGAAAGCAAAAGCTTTGTGAATAGTGATTATTTCTCTGTAGGAGACTTCATGTGTGTGTCAGGAGCTCCTCACCAGCAGCAGGATACACAGACAGCTCCAGCATGAGCAACAGCATGAACAATAAGCTGCACCCCAGGATCCCACCAAGGGCTGGGGGTCAGCATCCCCACCTTCCAGCTCTGAGAGGAACACAGACAGGGCTGCCCTGCATGTGGCAAAAGGTCTTCCAGCCTGAGGTGCTTCAGATCAAGCTTTATGGGCTGCTTCTGTTTCCCTTTCCTGTTGAAATTTCACTTTTAAAATGCTATAGAGCTCCTTCTTCCTTCTCATGATGCTGTAATGCTTTACGCTTTACTGGGATGTGCTGAGGTGCATAACACGGGCTTAAAAAAGAAAAGCAATTCACACAGTTCCACACAATTTGGTAAGATTTTGGGGCAGACAGTTAGATTCACTCTTTCTTTATGTAATCCTGCCTTTATGTAGCAAAATCGATGTGAGTCTAAGGAGGGCTGGGCTCTGCCAAGGTCATCTGGATCACATTTATCAGTTGCAGAGTATTTGAGGGGCAGGGGTGATTGAATATGGACACTGAGTTTCAAAAGACCGGAGTTTTTGCAGCCCAGATGTATCTGGTGCTTGTACAACTTCACAGTGCCCCCTGGCAGTGATGAGGAGCATTGCTCAGGGCTCATCAGCAAAGGGAAGCAGCCGTTAAACTGGATTATTAGGCAGGGCCATTATAAAAGCTCAATCCATGCAGGTGTTGGAGGACAAAGGGAGGAGCAGTTACCGAAGATCAGGAGAGGGAAGCAGTCCTCCCAGGCAGCTGCTCATCAGCAATCCTCATCTCAGTCTTTCCCAGATTTCCCCAGCCCAGCTGAAGATGTCTCCCAGGAGTCCAGGATCACAGATGCGGATCTGGTCTTCCACCACATCTTGCAGGAGCAGGGACCAGGCAGGCTCCCTCCAGAGGAGCACTTCAGCACGGAGGTTCGGCTCACTGTCAACTCCCGGAGAAGGAGCCTGGAGAGAAATGCCAGACCTGGTAGGTGTCCCCAGACATGCTTCTCCTGGGTCCTTGGAGGACAAGCGGCTGCAAGAGGTGGAACAAAATGAAAATGTCCTTGATGTTGTTAAAAAAACCCAAAACTTCCAAGCCATGAAAATCCTTGTGACCAAATATGTTGTGCCTGAAGCAATTTGGTTGTAATGGGAACACATGTCTTGTTCCCAACAAACTCATTTCACCAAGACAGAGGGGCCTTGCTTAAGGTATCTGTCCTTCTCACAGCCACTGCTCTTGTCCAGGGTAGAAACTAGATATAATCAAATGGACGCTACTAGAGACAATGGGATATGCTTCCTTCTGCCGGCAGCAGTTGATGAGTTCAGCTTCTTGCCAAAGGATGGTGTAGGTGCAGAAAATGTAGTCCTAAGGGGACTTGAGCTGTAGGAAAACTGGCGAGCAACTGGTGGCAAGGACTGGGAATTGCTAAGTAGCATCCATGTAGCCTGGCATGGTGCACTGTCAGGCTGAATGAAATACCCTAGCAAATAACAGGGCAGAATTTGCCTTTCCCTGCTGTGGCAGCAGACCCAGGAAGGCTGGATACTGGCTTGTGCATGGGCAGCTGTAGGATATATCCTTCTGGGTCTCCAGTGCCTGTTTTATTTCCTAGGGAGTAGGAAATGCTGGGTAAACCTTACTGCGTGCTTTGTAGGGGTCCACTCCAAGCCCCACTGGAGCGACACAGCAGCAGCAGGGCCCATTGGCTTGTTCATTCCATTTTATGTCATTGGTTTTGTCTCGTTTGAAATTCTCCTTTAAGAATAAGACTTTCCATTCTTTTTAAATGCTCCGTCCTAGACTGGTACCTCTAGCCTGATCTAAACATCTTCCACTACTCAGTGTATGAAGGGCAGTGTCCAAACCTGGGCTCCAACAAAACTGGGAGGGCAATAGCAGTTTTTACTGATGGACATGATTGTCTGGGGCATGAGAGAGCAAGGATGATCCCCCTTGTACCTACTGCTAACTCAGCAGTGCTGTGTGGCTGCAGCGAGTGGAGGTACAGCCTGGTCTAGCATAGCCATCCTTACCTTGGTGTCTCCCACAGAAGCATCTCCTGCCAAAGCATAGAAGGTGTGATCTGGAGAAGTGCCTTGTTATTGTTTACAGCTGGGGCCAATCTCCAGGAAGGAACTCAAGGGTATGAGTTTGTTGTAACCTTGTGCTGAAGCCTCCTCTTCTCTCTCCAAAGGCAGCCCCTGGAGTGAGCAGCCCCGATCCCGGTACTCTGCCGATATGGACACCTCCGATGAGGACATGAAGGAAGCCCAGTTCCCAGCCTACCCCCCCCATCACATGAAGCGACGTAACAGAGCCTCCTCTCAGGAGAATGCCAGCCACTCTGGGAGCCAGGTACCAAACACCCATTGAACCAGCCTGTGGCTGAGCTTCTCTTGCCATGAACAGTGCTTGTTATCTATAAGGTGCAGGATGGTTCAGGGGAGAAAAGAAGCAGTGATGGCAAACTGGGGCGCACCCATGGTAAGCTTCCGTCCAGCATGGATGTGCAGCATGAGCTGAAAACCTGGAGTGCCCTCAGTATCCACACAACCCCTGCCCCTTCTGCACAAGGGTGGTTTGATACCCGAGTGTCACATGTGCAGGTCCAAGAGGGACCAGAGTGGGTCCCAGGTCTCTGTAGACTCAAGATCTCTCCTCCTCTTCAGAAGTACACTGGAACTCTGTGTTTCCCATCCCATGTTCTCCTTTCAGCCCTTCCACTTTGGCAGCCATGGCAAAGAGAAAATCAGGTACTGGTTTGTGCTTCATTCTGCCCATGATGCCTGGAGCCTTCCTTCATTCCTGTTAATTTTTCAGCTTGTCCTTATTGCTCTGCAAGTTACCTTCAGTTTCATGTGTCCCCAGAAAGGCTTTCTTTAATTGAATGACTGGTGCTTTATGATCAGACAGAGGTTTGGAGAAGGATATTTGATAAGCATCAAGATCCTGTTCTTCCAATGTTCCTGCCCTGATAGGACTGGGTCAGGACAACCTGTCACATTAGTCTTCTGAATGATGATAATAGGGGGAGCAGTCTAAAGGAGGGTATCAAATAGGCTATAAGCTTGTGTTTTAGCTGTTAGACAAGGACTTGCAGTTCCTGATGCCACCTTTGTGAATGGTGGTGGGTGGTGAGAGGTGGTAAAGCATTCCTCAGACCTTGAGCAGCAAAATGCAGGGTGGTGTTTGAATGCAGATACACACAGAGAGCCATCACCAGTCTCTGCTGATAGCAGTGATTTTGCACATCCTGGACCCCTCTTTGTGTATTGAGCGGGGAGATCTGTAACCACAACCATCACTCGGCAATGCTTCATCTGCCTGTGTAGGGAAACCTTTCCTTTGCCTTTTACTTCTCTCAGCACATGTTTTAATCAGTAAGTGTCATTCCTTTTTTAGCCAGCAGTAAATGGGAGAGCCCTGGACTGGGTATCCTTAATGACACCACGGTACATTAGGCATGAAATTCGCACCATGCTTTGCAGTGGGGAAATGGGGTCAAATTCCTGGCAGTGCTTCAGGTAACCTCCTCTGTCAGCTGGGCAAGCTCCTCCTCAGGGTAGTCTGTTGTGACCCGGTGGTTTGCTCCATCACACCAGCACTAAGGCTGCTGTGGAGCCTCATAACTCTAATGGTTACAAGACATCTTACTCCCAATTTAAGCCCATTTTCTCTTATGCCAACATCGTTCATTAACTTAAATAGCCTTTCATCTTTCCTGCCCTTTGTGCTGCTGATGTGTTTACAGCTAGCAACCATCCTCTGAGCCTTCTCCTTGCCCAGCAGGAAGAGACCTGCCTCTGTGCTGGGCCATTAACTTCAGCATGATGCATACGTGCATTGCTGTGACTGCTGGCCAAGGGGAAGCCAGGTACCAGCCCTAAGAAGCAAGAAGGCAAGAACATCCAGATTTCAGTGTTGGACAGCTCTGTGGTATTGGCAGAACTGTAAGAGGTTCAGAAGAGCCTGGGGTCCATCCCCTGGTACTGACATTGGAGAAGGTGGAGGGGCTGAGGCTGGCAGGATGGCAAAGGCAGACCAGGAGGGACTGGGGACAGCAAGGAGCAGCTGCATTTTCCTGAGCAGTGAGGTGATGGCTTTTTAATTGCTTACAGGCACTTCCAGGATATGTCATGTAGCTCCCAGGGGTATGCCAGCCCCTGATGGGACATCCCAGAGGACAGCAAGGGTGGCTGAGTACGACTGGTCACCCTGGTGCTGCACTTCTCAGAGGCTGTGCCCTGTGGCAACTCAAGATGTTGGCTTGTGGGGCGTAGGGTCCAGAAGCATGTTTGTTAACTCCTGTTAACCCTTTATTGAATCCCATAGCTGCACTTCACAAGCGATGTTTTCCTGGTAGACACCTTATTGGCATCTGAAGGTTCCAAGAGGTGGAGAGCTCAGCTCTTTGTCCTGCATCACTTCGACCCCACAGATGAAAACCCTCTCTTAAAACTGCATTAGGTGCAAGTTTGTCAAAATCTGTTTGGTCTGAAAATTGCTTTTGCTTTCATCCTGGAGCAGATACATTGTCCAGTCCCAAACAAGGAGCACAGCTTCTCCAGTAACAAAGGCAGAGGCTGCTCCCTGGCCCTGTGAGTCCAGGAGCTCAAGGTGCCAGAACAACATCAAAAAAAAACCCACCACTACTTAAGAAAGCTCTTAAATCTGACAGGACATGAAGAGAAGCCCTGAATTGGCAACTGTGTAGGTAGGTCTCTGCTTTAGGTCTTTAGCAGCCAGGTAAGAACAGGGTCAAGGCACAAGGAATAGAGACAATTTACCAAGCTTCTCCCTGAAAATCCCTCTGCTGTACCTCAAGGGAGCTCAGTGGTTGTGGATTCCCAAAGCTTTGGTATTGTCTGGCTCCTTTTCTTTACACTAAGCTTCTGTTTGAGGTCTTGGGTATTTGAGAGACTGGAGGCAGCACCTCTGCTGGAGTAGCCTGTCTTCCCTCCTCAGCAGCAAGTAATAGTTTGCCCTGATGGCTTCCTTATGGGCCCTGGATTAAGTTTCTTCACTTCAAGTGTTTGACTACAGAGCAGCATTTGCAAGCCTTTGTCAGACAGAAAGCAGTGCAGGGCAGCCCAGCCCAATGGGGATGCACACTAACAGGGTGACCACCATGCATTAAAACGAGCCTTACTTAGGAGGGAGAACAAAAGCAAGCTGCTCAGCTCCTACCCTTGTAGCCCATCAACAGCAGAGCGTGCATTATGCTCTGACCTCTCCCAGCCTCTGCATTGTGGAGACAGGGTAGTGTCTGTGTTCAGCTCGTCACTCATTGTCACTGGGAGCAAAGCAAGAGTCAGGCCTTAAACAGTACTGAGAAACCACTTAGAGACAGATTGGGTTGCTTCCGGCCCGTGGGTTTAATGCTGCTTAAAGATGCATTCAGTTAGGGATGGTAATTACAGCATTCTGCTCTCCAGAGTGTCAGGGGTTTATGTTCGTCTTCCCTAAAGCAGATGCAATCTCTCCAAGCTGTTGTGAGGATCTGGTTAATCAAACACAAGCACAAAAACTGGGTGAGAGGATGGAAACGTTACAAAAACAAAGCCAAGCCCTCGCATCTCTTTGTTACTGCATTTACTTACTGCATTTGCTTCAGTGGGAGGCAGGCACTCAGGACAGCAATGATGTGGGAGTTCGTGTTAAAATATGGGCAGTATTCCTCATCATTTGTAATTTATTTGATTGGATCAAAGAAGAAAGACATTTATTGTTTTTTCCCCAAAGAAATCAAAACTTCCACTTCTAAAAGGGAGGAAAAAGCTTCCTTTGATGTTTTCAGTGGTTTAACCACAACAGTTTGGCTTGGCTCTTGTGCTTTTTGGTTTTCAGGGTTTTGTCTGTTCTATTCTCTGCTTTTCTCTCCATGCCCCTTTTTTCATGGGAAGAGGAAGGGAGGAGAGAGAGGCAAGCATCTCTGTAAATCCATGCATGGAAAAGTCAGAAAATTGCAGTGTGCTGGGAAAGCTTACAGGGTTATTATTTCTATCTGGAATTTCTATGGGAATTTTTTACCTATTCCCTCTTCCTTCCCAGTGCTGTATTGCTTGGGGGGTGATGAGGTAGTAGCTGCCTGAAGAAAGTGTTAGTGGGGAGTGAAAATTGTGTTGACCTGAATTTGGGACAGCGTGTGACTGATGGCAGAATAGATGGCTTTGTTACAGCCTGATGCTTTTGCCTGGCCAAGGGACACAGTGGGCCAGTGATGTGGTTTCATGTTCACTGAATCAAAGCTATCAATGCTTTGGTGGGATTGAGATGTGTTGGGTACTTAGCATCACTTTGAGCTTTCCAGATGTGAGGGAGGCTGTGCACCTCCTGGGGCTCATCAGTGTAGCCGGGGCTGGTTTTAAAGACAGTAACTGTTAATGTCTTTTAGCTCAGCCCACGGTGGCGGTGTCTTGCTGCTTGCTTGCTTCTGCTGGTTTCACTGTTTCCTCACTGCTGTCAGTGGTGGCCGGGCTGTTCTCTACTCCTCTGCTCTATCTCTCCTTTCCTCTAGATCCATGAGCTCAACAAACGCATGTCTGCAATCGAACGTGTGCTGAACCGCTTGGAGGAAAAGATCCTGGTGAGCTCTGAGGAGGTAACCGGGCAAAGCCGGGGCACCCTGCAGGGAGAGAGCATGGGCTGTGCTGGGCCCTTCCCCTTGTCATTGAAGGGGCTTTTCTGAAACAGCCAGCATTGCAGGGAGAAAGCAGGTAGACAAAATGACCCAGGTTGGTTGAGTTTAATCCTGGGTTGGCTTTGGAGGCTTTTCTATAGTTCCAGGTGATGGAGTGCCTTAGAAAACATTGCATGGCAGGACAGAATCAGAAGCAAGCTTAACCTTTAGGCCCCCGTGCAAGCTAGTGCCTTCCTTGCCCATTTTGCACAAGGAAGATTGGGTTTCAGGTTGATACTCTATGTAATGCTGATTGCAGGAGTATTGTCAAGTGGGTGTTGGTACATCCGCAGAGCTGTGACAGCTCATTTGAAATCATGGGAGACTCAATTAGGACATATGAGGAAGTCACCTGGTAATTGTCAATGAGATCTGAGTCAAGGATTTCTGAATCTCTTCTGAGTTGCCCTTGTCTTACCATGCCATCAAGTTTGGAAGAAAACAGCTAAATTAAGTTACAGCTGGGCAGCAGTGTAGAATCTGTGAATCCTTAGGTCATTTAACATTGATCTGGGGTTTCTAATTTTAAACTCTGTACTCTTCCTTTGTGTGAAACCATCACCATGAGCTGCTCTGGCAGGTGATGGCTCAATAGAATTGACAATGATAATTGCAGAGAAGTCCCCTAGAGATAGACGAAACAGATCAATTTCTTCCTTATACTAAAGTCTGTGATGGGGATGGCCATGTTTGCAGTCATTCAGTGCTTTTGTCAGTAAATCTGACTGAGGGAGTAGGAGACGTGCACATTTGCATGTTCCTGTGCTTTATTCCCATGTCTAGGGCATATCAGAGTAGAGGCAACAGGTCTAAACTGCTGCAGCAAAGCTTGCTAGCAGAAAGGATAGCAGAGCCTGAGAGTAGGTTGCCTGGGAGAAAGATTGCCTGCTGCAGATGCCATTGTTCAAGATGGGTAAGAGAAGCTTAGACAAAAACCCATCAGGATGACATGGATAATTGTATTCCTGTCTTAATGCAAGGGACAGCAAGTTCAGTAACTTCTAGAGATCCCTTACAGCATCTGGAGGTTTAATAGGATTCTTCTCCTGGTACCAGGAACTGCACCTAATAACAGGGCTGGGTGGAGCTGTGCCATCTGTCCTACAGGAAAGTTTTCTGCATGTGTTCTCATGACAAATAAGATTCCTTAAAGGCTCTCAAAGCTACATCGGGGAGCAGCAGTTCACATGGCTTCCTCCCTCACCCTAGTGGACTATGTCTTATGGTTGCTGTGACCTCTGCCCTTGCAGCCACCAGCCACATCATGATTCCTAATGAAAACCTGGAGATTTTGGGCCCCAGATCCCCTGAGTACATCTTGTTTTTTGAGGGGGTGGGGGGTGGGGGGCAGCAAATGCAATTTTACACAGGAAAAAGCTAGTAAGTTGGGCAGCAGGGGTGAGGGGGTGAAATGTCTTTCAGATCAAGGATTTGTGCTCCTCAGCATGGAGCTGGGACACAACTCCATTTGTAAAGTCCATCAATGGCTGCACTCCTCGCATTCCTCTCCTGGCCAGTCATGGGGAGTGCATCTGGACCTGGGCATGCTCCATTATCCAACACAGGAGACCCTTATCCACCTCCCTTCTTCTGTTCCCTCAGTCTCCAGCCCCAGACTCCCAGCTTGATCCTGATGCAGAGGAGGAGGAGTTGAAGAGGAAGCTGGAGGAGTTAGCCAGTAATATCAGTGACAAGGAAGTCTCTTCTGAAGAAGAGGATCGTGAAGAAAAGAAGAGAGCAAAGAAACCAGAGATGAGTCCCTCCTGTGATGACATGGCCAGAGAGGCTCGAAAGGTAATCTGTGTCCTCCCACCCACACCATTCTAGGCTCCATCTGTGGTTCCTTCTGCTTTTAGTGGTTTATGGTTTACACCGTGATAATGCAACTCTTCTGTCCCACAACTCCACCTCAGTGCCTCCCAGGGTTGTGGTGTATCTGGCTTAGCTGTCTGCTTTAACAAAGTGTCAAGGGTTAGAGAAGTGCTAGGTGTTGGATCTGGACCTTTCACTGCTCTCTAGGCTCTCCCACACTCATCCAAGAGTCAAAAGTACAGTCTCTTAGAGGTCTTGCAGGCTGCTGCCTACCTTGGAGAGGTACACAACCTCCACATCTGTCTCAGGATGTGGATATCATTGTGGAGAACAGAGTCCTGGGGTGGGAGAAGAGCTTGGTCATTTAGTACTGGCAGCCTTTGTTAGGCACCTGCTACAACCTGAAATGTCTCTTCCAGGCCTCACTGCTCCTGAGGCCCCATATCCCTGGTCCTGCTTTCTCCCTGCTAGATCAGCATCTCCTGTACTTTAGCAGTGTGCTGGCTCCTGTCCTCAGGGTGATCTCTGGGGACATGGCCAGGGAGAAGACGAGGGATCACTGCTTTCATCCAGTCCTATTCACATTACACCAGACGATCCGGCACTCCCATGGCCCAGTGTAGCTCTGATTTATCCCCCTGCTTGCTGTCTGCATTTTGGAGGTCTGCATATCCCTGCAGCATGGCTGGACAGGCATTCGTTTGTGTGTAGCCTCACATGGGGAATTGCTTCCATGGCCTGAGAGCATGAGCAGACAGAGGAGCTGGTCAGCTTCGCCCTTGCCTCACCCAGTGTGTGGTGCAGATGGGTGACAGCCCTGGGGATGAGCAACCCATCCAGCCCAGGTGACTCAGAAAGGGAGATTTGCGTCTCTCCAGCTGTGTAGAGCCTCCTGAGATGGTCCATTAGCACAAAAAGGAGAGGTCAGTGTTCCTTGTTAGGTCTCTAATGGCTTATTTGTTCATCCCTCCCTTCTGCCTTGGCTGTGGGTGGAGGATTTGTGTGTTTGCTCTGCCACATCCGTCACCAGAGTGCTATCCCTCTCCTCTCCTGCAAAGCTCCTTTCATCTGAGGCTGCAGAGACTTCCATGGTGCCACAAGGCCTCTCTTTAATGGGCTTTTGTTCCTCAGCCTCACTTGGCAAAACCTGGCTGCTTGGACTTGCGGCTGCGTGTACACACCTTGTGCATTTAGTGAGTCTGTATCAGGTATGCAGGAGACTTCAGAGCAGCTTGCAATGTCTGAAGGGGGCTACAAGGATGCTGGAGAGGAATTCTTCATCAGGGACTGTAGTGATAGGACAAGGGGTGATGGGCTCAAACTGAAACAGGGGAAGTTCAGGTTAGATCTAAGGCAGAAGCTCTTCCCTGTGAGGGTGCTGAGGCGCTGGCACAGGGTGCCCAGAGAAGCTGTGGCTGCCCCATCCCTGGCAGTGTTTAAGGCCAGGTTGGACACAGGGGCTTGGAGCAACCTATCCCAGTGGAAGATATCCCTTCTATGGCAGGGGGTTGGAACTGCATGATCTAATGATCCTTTCCAACCCAAACCCTTCTATGAGTCATTGCACAGCTCTCTGTAAAATCTCAGGATCAGAGCAAGCAGCTGTTCCCAGGATGGCTTACCTTGTAGTTTGGATACCATTTGCTTTCTGCCACTGGATCACCAGTGCACTGCATCCTTACCGAGAAACCTCCTTGAATGCCCCCTTTTTCCTGACAGCTGCTTTTAAGTGATTGCTGCAGCCGGGTTTAGCTACCCCTCATGTGTTGAACAATGTGCATCTTCTTAGTAGCCATTTCCAATTAGCTGCAGCACAGGAGATAAGTGGTAACTGGGATAACTTAATTCTTAAGTGGTAAGCCAAGATAAGTTAATTCTTGAGTGAGCTGCTGATCTGCAGAGTTTCACCCTGACCTGCAATGAGGAATAGGGAGATGTTAGCGGGGCATCCGTGTAAGCTTCTTAATTCTTATAAAATGAAGCCTGGATTCTCCAGATTTGCTACTTTCTTTGACCAAAGCCCATCTACGAAACATGGAAGATACAGGCATGGTTATGGACTCCAGACAGGCAGGCAACACAGGAGCTATATATGACAGCTCCTAAGCAAAGAGGACCCCAGCTGGGTTGCAACAACTCAAGCAGAACTGAATCTGAGAAATTAAACAAAATTCAGGTTTTTGCTTCACTGTAACACTGAGAACACTTTAGAAATGCCAGCAATGATGTAGATGAACCAGCCTTGCTTAAAGGCTGTGTCAGCATGGATGTGATTTTAACAGCAACTTTCCTCATAGTAGATCCAGGCTTGGATTTTGCATCATTCTGAGTCCGGGTTTATGTGAGTCTCCTCTCCAGTCAGGAGGAAGTCATCAAAGTGGGGAACACCGCAATGAAAGAGCATGGTCCTAATGGAAAATGTGAAAAACTCAGCTGTGCCAGGAAGGACCATAAAGTGATAAAAATACCAGCTGTGCTGAGAGAGCTGGTTCTCTGCAGGACAGCCTGCCTGGAAATACGTGCGGTTGTAAACACCGCTGTTCATTGCCAGGGCATGTATCTCCCCATCTCCTTGGTTTCTAGGGAATTATCAGTTGAGAGAGAGTTTCTTCAGTCTGTTTTTACATTTTCTTAATCCCTTAGCAAGCAAAAGGCAGCACTTAAGGGCATTAATGCCATCAGTGCCCCTTGGGGTGGGCAGAGGGGGCATTAGTCCCAAGTTCTGGCAGTGTGGCAATACAGTATAGTTGTTCTTTTTCTCCTTTGCCACAAACTCCAGGAGTTATTGGAGTTATTTGCACCCATGCTGAAGTGGAAAGCAATATGCTGCAATTAGATCTTATCTGCTGAGTAACTGAATGGCCTTCAGGTGGCCAGGTGCTGCTGCTGTCAGACAGCACTGGTGAGTGACACATGCCTGATAACCTCTTTTCCAAGACTTTTGAGATGACTTCTTTTGTCACAGCCATCCTCCAGCAAGCACGGGCTGAGATCAAACCTCCGCTTTAGCCAGGCATCCATTTCCAGTGGGAAGCCCTTCAGGAGCAGCATAAGCCCTTTAATTATCACTTCTCCATCTTTCTACAGCTCCTGAAGGTCTGATGCCCGACTTGCTCGGTTTTGCACACCACGTTAAAATGATGTCCTTATTTCTCTCCCTGCTCCCCCCCGCTCTGGCTGTACCTGGTGTTCGCAGAGGTCATCAGCTCAAGCTTTGAGCGAAATCACAGTCAAAGTGCTGAGAACCATAAATGCCACGGAGCAAGCGGTGTGTGAGTTGTTGCATGGAGAGAGGCAGTGCAACGGTGGCTGTGTCCTCCCCGCAGGGCATCCTCCCAGCCTGGGCAATGGGAAGGAGGTGGCCGAAGCGTACCGTGAGCTTGAAGAAAATGTAAGGTTCTAGAGTTCATGAGAGGTTTCTGCAAGCAGGGAGGGTGTCAGCAAGGAGGGAGGGGGGAATACGGAGGAACCCCCCCAAAGTTGCCTACTAGTGGGTAGGCCAGCACTAAAAGGATGGGCACGACACAGGGGTTTGAGTCCACTGTTGCCTGATGGTGGCCAGGGCTCTCTTACAAGGGGGGTGGCACAACAGCAAGTGCAGATGCTCTGTCTTGTTGCTTCCCTTGTGCCTCAGCTCCTGGTATCCCCGGCTGAGTGCCAGGGAGGGAGGATGAGTGCAGTCCTCAGTTTGCTGTAGGGTTGCTTTGCAGGATTCTGCAGCCCTGTGCTCCAACTGCAGCAGAATCTTTTGTCCTGCTTCATTTTGGCTCCTGCCCAGCACAAGGCTTTCACAAACAAGGATAGCATGCCCTACCTGTTTGCTAATGCTGACTTGTGTCCAGAGCTGAAGGGCTCATGCAGGTGACAAGTTCACATATAAAGCGCAATGTCCTGCTGGGTTTGTGTGGCACTGAAGTGTCAACACTTAGCTATGGCAAACCCATATGAATCAATTCCCTGTGGAAATGGATTGCATCTACAGTGCCGTTTGCCAAGATCCAAAGAAACAGTTCAAGGATGGGGCAAAGAGTTGCATCTCCATCTGGGTGGTCAGGTTTCGCTGTCAGAAACATCCTGGGGAGCCAGGTTTTATAACACAGTGTGGCTCATCTCTTATTGGGGAAAGCTTATACATAAAAGCAGTGAGCTCAGAAACTGGTTTCTGGCCAAATGCAGCATCCCAGGGAAAGAGGGGTGTCTGCATGAAGGGTCTGAGGTTCCCCCTTTCCCAGAAGAGGGGATAGGATGTGAACTATGGGCTTAGTGCTGTCAGTGGCAGGTCTGGGACAAGGAGATGGGTAGAGATAGCCCTGGGGGGTGCATGCTCAGCCTGCCATTCCCTCCTGGCCCTAGCTGAGTCACAGCTTGATGCTCTGCTCCTGGACCATGCCACCTCAGAGAGCACAGGGAGAGTTTGATGGCTCAACAACAAATTGTGTCCCTGTGACTCACAGGTTGAGCTGCTTCACAAACAGCACCCATAAATGTCTCCAATCTGTTACGGCCTCAGGGCTTGTACTGGCATGGGAGAGACCTATGGGACAGCGTGGTGTGAGTTGGGTTGGATACTTGGTATTTCAGGGTATGCCAGAAGCTCTTGCCAGGCAGTCTTGAGCAATACCTGGCCCAGGAAAAGCAGTGAGGGTTGGAGGAGCAGGACTTGCACTGGCAATACCAAGAGTTGGGATTCAGTCAGCAAAACAGTGGCCACAACCCCTCTGATCATCTTATGTGACTGCATACAAACATCTCTTGGACTTGCATCCTTGTAGTAGCCCAGGAGGAGGCAAGTGACAGCAAAGCCTGTGGTTTTATTGGGATAGGTCCTTTTGCCCTTTCTTACCTAGGCAGCAAACGTAGCCCATTGCTTCCCATGGCTGCTGAGCTCCATTTGCACGCATATTTGCTGGGGCTTTGGCTGGGACCATTCCTGTGTATTTAGAGCAGTTCCTGAGCCAAACTGTCCTTTGCAGGTCAGTTAACGGCCCAGGGTCAAGCTCCCACACCCTGACCCCACTCCCAGCCAACCCAGAAGCGCAGACTGAGTGGATGTGGAATGTCAGTGTATCAACTTCCCAGCTTGCTGACACCACGGGACCTGGCAGCCTGCACTGGTTTGCAGGTGCCTGCCTCCCCTCTGAGCAGATGGCATAAAGATGCTGATGCTTCTTGAGTGGGTCACCAAGATTTGGGCCTTCCTGTGTTCTCATTGAGCGTTTTACCACTTTGCTGGGTTAGTAATTGCTCTCAAAAAGCCTGGGGAAGGGAGGAAAGGAGATGAAAAACCCTGCCAGAGCTGGCTGGTATGGCCTATGCTGCAAGGCAAGAAAGCAGCCATAAAGTAGCCTCAGGAGCTGTTGTGTCTGGTGCTGCAGAGACACTGAGAGCTCCAGAGAGGTTAATGCTGCAATGTGTGTGGGTTTGGTTGGTTTTTTTCCCTTTCAGGTATATCTGACTGCTGGGAAGACCTTCCGGCTTGAGAGCACCCTCAAAGAGCTGGAAGAAGGGGCTCAGCACAGCGGCACAACTGACTCGGAGCTGTCAGAGCTGGAAGATAAAGTGGCCTCAGCAGCTGCTCAGGTGCAACAGGCAGAGAGTGAGGTGAGGATGTGGCTGAGAGCTGCTTTGCCCAGCCAATGACAGCAAATGAAGCCAGGGGTGGAACCAGCCTCTGTATGGTCTTTTTCCTTCTAAAGGTTTCAGACATTGAATCTCGGATCGCGGCTCTGTCAGCTGCGGGGCTGACAGTGAAGTCGGTGGAGAAGGCAAGGAAGAAGTCGAATGGGCAGGTGAGCATGGAGGGTGCCTATGAGAGATCCCAGCCCTGTAATGCACAGATTGCTGCTGCTGCCACTTTGCACTGTGAGGGGCTGCCCGGCTTGCTGTGCCCAGCTCCCTTCCTGCTGCATGGTTCTCTGCCCCAGAGCTCCAAGAGCAGATGTCTCACTAAGGATGGGGACAGCGCTGATTCCGTGTATGCATCAAGGGAGGATTTTGTGTCTGGGACTGGTGCTCTTCCTGGGGTTGCTGGAGGGCACTCAGGGCCACAGCAGTGCACTGCCTCTTTTGCTTACCTTGGAATCAGCCCAGTCTAAATAAAAGAGGTGAACATACAGAGGAAAGCAGACAAAGTCATCTGCTCCCTGCACCCAGAGAGAAACCCTTGCCTTCCTCTGTCCACAGGCTGCCTGCCTCCACTCTTCTGGTGCCACCAGCAGCAGTCCCGGGGAGTCTTTGGATGACGTTAAAGTGAGTACATGTTTAGTGGTGCATGCAGCTCAGCATCCAGCCTGGAGACACCTGGGGTGTCCAGGAAGCTGCTTTCAAAGTGGTGGCCTCAGAGGGGACCTCTGTCCTCCCATCCCATTGCCCACAGCAAGCTGCTCCCCATCTCTTACAGGCGATGCCTGGACTGCAGGGGTTCAGGAGGAAGTTCAACAGTCCCCTCGACATCCCTGGTAAGGACCGAGGCTCTGCCATGGGAGTTGGGGAACTGTGGGTGGATGGGGCTGGGTTTGGGGGGACGTTCTGTCCTCTCTCTCTGCATCCCCCTGCACTGGAGAATCCTCTTCCCTGTGTTCATGGCCTCCTGCTAGGAGAGAGGGAACCTGTGGTGGACCATTTAGAAAGGAGGCAGGAACTGTCAGGATGGGGATGGGGATGGGGATGGGGATGGTGATAGGAGAGCGGAGGCCAGGCTGAGTTGGCTCAGTCCTCCAGGAACCAGGACTTTGTATACAGCCTGGCCTCTGCCACCCCAGAGTCCAGGGGGATTTCACCTGTGACATCACGTTGTCTGTAAGATCTCAAAGCCTCACGTAAGCCCATCACCTCTTCTGATAACAATTTCCTCTTTGCTTGGTCATCTCGGAGAAGGTATCCTTCACCCTGTTATCCAGCTGGCCCATCCATTGTTGTCTGATGGGGGCAAGAGACCCTCCACATCCCACCTATGACAAACAGCAGCTTGGGAATGCTTCAGAGCAGTCTGTGACCTGAAACTTGGCACAACAGCTTGTGTGGTGAGGGGCAGCCACTGGAAGCATTTCATCCTGACCCGTATCAATGAGACCCACGAGGAAATGACTTTTCTTTTTCTCTCTTATCTCGCCTCATAAGCGTAAAGACAGAAAGAGTGGGTCTCTTTCCAGGTAATGGAAGATGAAAGGAGGAAAGATCCTTTAATGCAGAGGATGATTCCTGTTTTCCCCATGCATGCAGACAATTAACAGTGCTATTTCCCAGGCTGAGGATGGTAGGTGGAAAGGCCCATTCTTCTCAAGCTGAAGAGGGGTCATCCTCTCTCCTTCCTGCAAAGGACAGGCAGATAAAGGCAGCCTGGGTGACATGGCAGCCCCACAAGGAGATAAAGAGATGAGCAGCTAGGATGGATGTCACCAGGCAAACCTAATTGCCTCTGCCTGGGCTGAGCAATGGGGAGATTCCATCTCCTGAGCACCCTCTCTGTGGGTCAGTGACTTGCAAAGTTGGGTTTGCAGAAGTGCAGCTGGAGCAAGTTGGTGTCGGATAAAAGACTTGGTAGGTCAGGAGAGGTCTGAGTGGCGAGAGCCCCACGTGTGCTGGGCTTCGGCCAGTCCATGGAGGGTTCCAGAGCAGAGGTTTTGGCAGCTGAGCACTGGCAGGCTGGCCCAGCTCACGGTGCTCTGGGAGCCTCTATAGCAGCAGCTTCTCTTTCCTTATTGTGAAAGTGCTTCCCACCACCCTCCTGGAAAGGGAAGTGCAATGAAACACAGAAAGCCTCAGCCAGCAGGGGATAGTAAAACCCCAGTGACTTGGTGGGTAACAGAAACCTCTCTGAGGTGGGTGAGCACCACCTGCCCATCTCTCCTCTCACTACAGGTCTTGACGACTCCTTTGACCGCAACTCTGTTTACCGTGGCTCCCTGACACAGAGAAACCCCAACGGGAAGAACAGGAGAGTGGAGAGGCTCTTTGCGGTACGAACCAAGCCACCCGGGAGGGCTGCTGGCTGGGCCCCACACGGGACTTGGAGCAATCTGTCCCTCCCATGCTGTCCTTGAGCCTGTGGAGCCCTCAGCTCTGGGTGGTGGCCAGTAGTGGCATGCCTGGGTGTCACCCCATGAGGTCTGGCATGTGTAAGCCCCAGGGCGGGGGGACCAAACACAACCTTTGAGTTCCCACTGCCTGGGTGGCTCCATGGGATGGGGCAGGTCCTCGCTCCACACAGGGGCAGCAAGAAGTGTGTGTGTGTGTGGGCACAGCGGTGAGCTGAGGTTTCTCCCTCTGGTGCCTTGCAGAAGCCTGTGATGACCCACCTGTCCTGAGGAGAGGGAGACCCTCCTGCCACTGCATTTCACTGATGCAAGACCTCAGCGCGAAGCCTCACCTCCTTCCCCACAACACTTGTTCTTCCTTCTCCCATCTTCATCTCTCCCTGAAGCCCTGGACAGGAGGGGAGCCAGAGGTTGTGGCCAGGAAGTCTTGCTGGTAGCTGCCAGGGAGAGGAGCAAGGCACTTGGGGTGCAGACCCATGGCTAGGGGCTCTCATGGGAGGATGCAGGCATGAGACCTTTGCTTAAGGCTGCTTTTTGGTATCAGGTTAACCAAGGGGACCGGAGAGGTGCAGAGGAGTGAGCTCCTCAGAGGGAGCTGGATGCCAGTGTGGCTTCCCAACATGGGGACCAGGGGCAGTGACACCTTGTCAAAAGCTGTCAGTGCCTGTCCCTGCTCTTCACCTCCTGGTCTTGACTGGGGACAGGAGCTGACAGTGCAGGATGTTCTTGGGTACCTCAGGTAGAGCAGGGACCCAGGCATCCTGGGCTGGGATTCACACCCCAGTGCTGGTCCCAGCTCCCTGCAATGTCCCCTGGAGCACCTCCTCCCTTCCCAGAGCAGCAAAGCAGGGTGGGAGCAATGCTGACTCCCTCCCAGTGAGCCCTTGTCCAACAGATCTTTACACAAAGCCATGCAAACACCCACTGAGGCTTCACACAGCCGTGCTTGAAGCAGCCATGACCATGTAAGGATGTGAGTGGGGCAAGGCTTGTGGGAAGCGGTGGCAAGAAAGGTGGAAGAGCGGCTGGAGGCCTTCCCCTGGTTTGGGTTCAGTTGTTTTTACAGTGCTCAAAGATATCCCCTCTCCAGGTAAGGCTGTATTGGCAGGTTTAGGAGGACTCCAGAAGGATTGTATAGGTGCTCCCCTGCAGGCTTTCCCCACCCTGCAGAGGGATTGGCCCATACCAAGAGGCACTTTGGATGTCCCTTGTTCTGATGATGGAATTGTTAGAACCCGATCCTTTGGAGGGGCTGTGATAGTCTTTGGGTGCTGCAGTGGCCCTGGGCTCCTAGCAGGTGACAGTGGATTTGGTAGCGCCTTCCCTTAGACACCACAATTGCTTGTTCTCCTCAGCATTTAATTCTGCACATCCCAATGGATCAGTGCCTGGCCCCATACCTGTGCCAGCAGGATAGGGAGGGAGCTGCTTTCTTTTGCAGGTCACTTGGAGGAGGTTCTTGTTAAAAGGCTTTGCTCAGCACCTGCTGGTCCCTGTTTATAGCCCCCACCTCCCTTCCTCCCCTCCCCTCTGCAGCAGGTGATGCTGGAAGGATCACTTGCAGCCAGAGCAGGTATGTCAGAGCAGTGCTAGCAGTTCCCCACCAATGGCTAAGCAGGCTGGACTGTTTTAGGCTGTTCCTGTGCATATGAACTAAACCCACTTGAATTATGAGCAGTAATGTGATTTTTCATGCAAATAACACTTCTGTTTAGCTTTCACAGTAGCAGAGACTTCTAACTGCCTAGAAATAGTCCTGTGGTCATCCAAGAGCAGTCTTGTTAGTCCACAGTCTGGGATTCCCATCTGGAAACAAAACCAGTTGCTTATTTTTAAGTGGAATCATTCAAAAGGGTCAGTGCAAACCACTGCCATTGTAGAAACCCTCCCAGGCGCCGTGGCATTACTGGGTGCACCTCTTGCTTCCCAGCCAGCCTCAGTGCCAGGATGCAGCTTCTTGGCTAGCGTCCTAGAAGATGCTCCATGAAGATCTCTGCAATGCTATGGGTTTGCACCCACCCTTCTGCTGTCAGGGTTCAGCCTTCGCCTCATCCACATCTCCTGGTGTATCTGTTTTCATCCATAACTTAAGTCTTTCCACACAAGTGCTAAAATGCTTAACCCTGAGAAGTCCTTGCAGTGAGCATCAGCAGGACAAGCTAAGGAATCTTTCAGGCTTTAGTCACCCATGTTGTTATTTGCTGGTTTCCTGCCCCATCTGCCTGTGTAGATTATATATACGTATGCAAAATCATGCAATAAAGCCAGTTTTGTGCCCAGAACCTGGAACCCATTTTTCAGTCTGTTCTTTCAGCTCACTCAAGCAAAGGCTCCTTTCTCTTCCCATCCTCTCGTGTAACCAGCTGGTGCACTCCTCTCTTTAAACTAGGCAGTTGAAAGCAGAAAGAAGCTGAATTGGTGAAACTGAAGCAGAGCAGGGGGAGAGGGTGGTGAAGAGGGTGGCAATATGACTTGACAGATGCTGGTCACAGAGCTGCAGATGTGATGGGAATGGGTTCTCCTTTTCATCCCTTTCCCTGCCTTTAATGTCCCTCTGCAGCAGTCGCCCTGTGTCCAACTTTGCTCCTGTGACTGTCCCAGCACTGGCTGTGCTCGGAGCTGATGGCAGCATGAAGTGGAGATATATCTTAGGACGATGTCTACCCTGCTGGGGGGTGGCAACTGAGACCTTTCCCCTGCTCACACCTCACCAGTGACAGCATCCTCACCGTCCTGCTAACCCAGACACATCCCTGTCTCAGGGTATTTGTTGTCCCAGTTATTCCAGTTTTGCCTGAGGGTGGGTGGACCTGTGTTTGGACACTGAGCAGCCCCCCCTGTGCTGGGGACCCAAGCTGGCTTCTCCATCATCGTATCCAGAAGAACAAACACCATCAGAACCTCCTTCCTGGGGGTGGTTTAACCCATTTAATAGAGGAGGTCTGTGGAGATGAGCCCCCTCCTGCCAGCCCGTGTGCCCCAACAAGCTGCCTTCCCTTCTTCTCTGTATTTAATTTCATGCTTTCCCTAAAACAGCCTCCGGGGGGGGGGGTGGGGGGTCTGAAGGAGAACGGGGGTTGGCACCCAGCGTGACTCGTGTGGTGGAGCGAGTCCAGGGCAGCATCACTCACCGACGCCCCGCAGCAGGCACCGAGTGAGGAGCAGAAACCTCCCCCTTGCCTGGAGTAGCAGCGGGTCAAGGACAGGGATGAGCACGTCCCCAGCGCTCCGGCTCTGGCGGCGGAAGGTGAGATGCTGGTCCCTTCTGAGTCACGAAGCTCCCGGTGCTGATTCGATGGGAGGGGAGATGCCCCTGCTCGGTCCCGCCGGGGCTCGCCTCTGACATCAGCACAAAACTGGCCATAAAAACGGCGGCCGGCGAGGACTCCGGCTCAGACAGCGGCCGCGGGGCTCAGCGGGACGGCAGCCAGCGCTTCGCTTCGCCGCGGTAAGTGCAGCCCCATCGTGCGGAGCAGTGCTTTCCTCTCCCTCTCGTGATGCTTTTGCTGCTGACTGCTTTCCCGAGCGCTGCTTTGCCTCTGAGCGTGTGTGTGTGTGTCCCTGTGTCTGTCCAACTGCCGTCGCGGTTCCCAAAAGGCGGCTCTAAAAAGTTGGTGGCTGCAGCAAACCTGAGCTCTCGGGAGCCCAGACGAGCTCCTGCCCGGCAGGCATGCTGCAAACTCCTCCTTTACAGGTCATAGACTCACGGAATGGTTTGGGTTGGAAAGGACCTAAAGATCATCCAGCTCCAACCGCCTGCCACAGGGTCCCTGAAAATAAAGCTACTGCATGTCCCGCCCTGTCCTGCTTAACACAGCTCTCCTGCTTCTGCCCCTTGCCCTGCTCCCTTGCCATAGGTGGCTGCAGAAATCAAGCCCATCACTCAGCCTGCTCTGCACTCACGGCCTTGGTGCCATAAAGCATGTTACAGGGTGCTCCCACGTTAACAGTCCAGCAGCCAGGTCCAGGGGTGCATACCAAGGGTGCAGGGGTGGGTGCCAAGGGTGCAGGGGTGGCCACGGTTCATCCAGGGCAAAATCCTATTTAACGACCCTGGGGTTTGTACAACCCACGTTTGCAGGAGCAGTTATCCCCAGAGCTGTCATCCCACTGAAACCCCCTGCTTTTGACCAAGCTGCCCTGACCAAGCCAAATCCCTTCGCTCCCACAGCCGTGCCGAAGGCCGTCATCTTTGTGGCATCCATCGGGAAGCACCAGGCACTGGGAGGCTGCGGGACCAAGCCACAGCCCATCAGAGAGTGCTGGGGATGAAGCTGGGGGCCGCCTGCCTGCTGTGCCTGCTGCTCACCTGCCTGACCCTGCCCGGCGCCTGCAGCCGCCGCCACGAGCACTCCATGGAAACCCGCAGTGAGAACAGGAGTAAGGGACCCCCGCACCCAACCCCTGCCCCCAGAACCCTCTGCACCCCCAGCCTCCCCTGCACTGGGGAGAGCGGGTGTCCCTGTGTAGAAGCAATGGTTTTCTTTCATCCCCCTCAACCCCTTTCCCTCTCCCCTGGCATTTGTCTCCCCTTCACCATGGGTGCAATGCCCTGTCCCCCCTCTATGTCCTCTGTCATCCCCCCCGATGGTTCCTTGGCTTTTGCCTTGCAGACCCGGACATCGACCCCTCCTGGTACACAGGGCGCGGGATCAGGCCCGTGGGGCGGTTTGGGCGGCGGCAGGCACTGGATGAGGGCATCCATCCTGGGGGGGCTGGCCACCGGCAAGCTTGTGCCCCCCCACACCTGCACCTGCAGCCCCCCCGAGGGGAGCGGAGCCTCTGAGCTGGAGCCCGCAATAAAAGCCCTTTTGCTCTCACCCCCGTGTCCCTTCCTCTCTGTCTGAAATGCAGCACAGGACAGTGAAACCAAGAACTGCTGATCTTGCCATGGCTTTGCAGCCTGCCCTGGCAGGGGGTGCAGTGCAGCAGAGCTGCTCTCTGTATTACATTCCATATCCCCAGAAGCCACCCTAAATGTAAGCCCCAGAGGCCTTCCTTTCCTAAGTGCATCCCCTGACGTCCCCACAGCACACCAGCATCCATGAATGCCCCCTACACCTTCATTTCCATGGTGCTGGGGTCAGAAACAGTCACTCCGTTTCCATGACCTGGCTCAGAAACTCCCTAGGAGCACATTGGGCCATGTCCGTTGTGCTGCATGTCCCCATATGTTCCTGCATGAGCGGAGTCCCCAAGCCAGACCTCCTCTGCTTTGAGGACAAGAAGGGCCACAGAGAAAGGTGACCCTCAGGATCTCTGTTTGCAGATCTCTGTTTCCAGGATCTCCTGGCCAACACTGAGGGTCTAGGGTTGTTTGGGGAGGGAAGGGTTAATCTTGTTTCTCAGTTGCCCTAATGTAGGGGCTTTTAGGCAGCAAATATGCCTTCTGGCTGGGAAGGAGTCCCTGTCCCACTCCAGGATGGCAGGACTGGGGCTGGCAGGGTGAGGGGAGCACCAGCTCCAGTCGCTGCCACCTCCCCACCTGTGAGCTGACATCCAGGTTAGGGAAAACCCACAAACCCACCCCTTTAGGGCACAGTTCTCTTTATTTGCAGCCTGGTGCAAAGCTGCTGGCAGGCACCGGCTCCACTCTGGGAAGTTAAACTCTCGCTCTTCAGACAGGAAGGCAGATGGAGGCATAAAGTGCAGCTGGGGCGGGAAGGCACCAGTCTGGGCTGGTGGCAGCTGTGCTGGGAGGTCCCACTCCTCTCTGGAAGCAGAAAGGTGGGGGAGAAACCCCTGCGCTTCATCTCTTGCTCAAAGGCAGTGCCGGAGTTGAGGAACCCCCATGCTGGGGTCAGGTAGGCTCTGACCTCGCTCAGAGCGGGAGGGTGGCAAGGCTGAACTGCCCCTGCCCTGCTGCATCCCCCTTGCCTTGTCACTGCTCCTCTTGGAGACCTCATCCAGGTCCAGATCTGCTGTCCTCAGAGCCGGCAGCACCCTGTCCGCACCCTGCTCTCCCCCAGGGTGACTGTTGACCTCGCATGCGGGGATGGGGCTCGGGCCTTCTCTTGTTCCCGCTGCAGGAGCTCTCGGGCTAGGAAGAAACACAAGGTTGGAAAGGGCTCATTCCTCCTCCCAGGGGCTGGGATGCAGCGGCTGTCCTGTCTCACCCCAGGGGAGCCACTGGTGACTGCCACTACTGTCCCATGGTAACTATGTTAGCTCTCTACTGAGCGTCTATGCCAGGGACACCATTACACATAGAGTGGATACTAAAGCAAACGAGAAGTGTGGTTTGGGGAAAGGACATGAAATCCATCTCAGATGTTGGAGCATCCCGGGATGGATCTGTTCATCCTTCTGTCCAGAGGTGTGACACATTTCACAGAAACCATGGGCTGCTGTGCCTGTGACCATTGCAGTTGCTGGATGTGGCACAGGCTGGACCAGCCAGGAAGATCTCAGTGCCAAACACAAGCAATGAAGGGGGTCAGCTTTGCAGGGGGGAAGATACTTGCAGCGCTGAAGCAGAAGTTTGGGACCTGTGTGTGCAGCTCTGCTCTCATCTAAAGCCATGACACAACTCACCTACGGCCGTAAAGATATCATTTACTTGGTGGCTGGATTTTGCAGATGTCTCCATGAACAGGAGGCCTCTGGTCCTTGCAAACTCTTCCCCTTCCTAGGTGGAGACAAGCAGAGTTACTCCCTCAGCCACCTCCGGGGCTGCTTGTTCATTACAGTGGCAGTTCATGGCAGGTCAGGACTTGCACACGGACTTTGGAGGTGTCTGAAAGCCTCGTAAACACTTAGTTTTGCTAGGACATATCCCAGTGCTTGCTGGTGAGGGGTAAGGAGCAGGTGTGGGAGCTCACCCCAAGCACTCACCTCGGTAGTGACTTCTCGCTCAGCAGCAAGATCCACCTTGTTGCCTACCAAAGCAATGACAATTTCATCAGGAAGGAATTCCTTCTCCAGGTCCCTCAGCCACAGCTTTGCTCTGTTGAGCGATTCCTGGAGATATGAATACAAAACCACTCAGGGATCTGGTTTTGATTTAATCCCATTCTCTCAGGCATAGCAAAGCTCAATGGGTAGCACCAAACCAAAGCGGGTGAGAGAGATGTGGTGGGGAGACTGAACTGAATGAGGAAGAAGCTCTTCCCTGTGAGGGTGCTGAGGCGCTGGCACAGGGTGCCCAGAGAAGCTGTGGCTGCCCCATCCCTGGCAGTGTTCAAGGCCAGGTTGGACACAGGGGCTTGGAGCAACCTGCTCTAGTGGAAGGTGGTTGGGACTTGATGCACTGAAGGTCCTTTCCGACACAAATCGGCCTGTGATGCTATGATTCTATGACTTTGATTGCCCTCTCTCAGTGAAGCAAGTCACAAGCCCTCAAAACACTTTTAAGGGTAAATCAGCCTTGGATAGGATGCACTCATTCTGCACAGCATCAAAAATCACCCCGGGGTTGTGGCATGGGCCTACATTGGCAGGGACAGCCTCTGGCACATCCCAGGTGGGATGCTCACCTTCTCAAGTGGTACTCCTGTATCTGGACACCTGCCCTGGCAGTGCTGCTGCAGCAGGGCTTAGAACAGCATCCCCTGCCTTACCTTGTTGGTGATGTCGTAAACAAGGAGAGCGGCATGGGCACCCCGGTAGTAGAGGTGGCACACACTGTGGTACTTCTCCTGGCCTGCCGTGTCCCAGATCTCCAACTTGACCGTGGCCACCTCCATGTTGAGCATCTGTGTGAAGAAGGAGCCTGCAGGGAAGGTGCACGTTCACTTGCAGGAAGAGCAGAGAGCTCAGATTTGCTGCTGTGAAGTAAAATCCCTCCTGAGGGCCAGTAAAGGTGCTCTAACACACAAAACTGTGCTGGGTTGCTCATAAGCACTGGCACTGTTGATGGAATGGCAGGGCAGCCTGGGGGCAGGCTGAGAGTCCTTCCTGGCAGCAGCTTTGGGTGGATGCACACCAGTTCTGATGTCAGATAGCTCTGAGCCCTGCAGAATAGCCCTCAGATACAGAGCCACTTCCACCTTGCTGGTGGGTCAGACCTGTGGGAGCTGTGAATAGAAATACCCACTGAAAAGGGTCCCACTACAAGGAAGCCTCCATCCCTGCTCCACTTGTGCACCAGCCAGAACCAAAGCAGAAGGACAAGGGGAGCAGCTCCACAGTGCCTTGCTCTCCATCACCAGCAAGCTCTTCAGACTGCAGGTGGGACCTCAACCTTTGCGTCTGCTGCGCCTTCTTAGGGCAAAATCCAGGTGTATCATGTAAAATAAATGTCTATAATGTCTAGGTGCTGCAGGAAGCTGTGCTGATGTGAACATAGAGGGCAGGCAGCTTGATATCAGCAGACATGTTGGCTCAAGGGAGGTTTTAGAGGGAGCAGAGCTCTCGCCTTGATGATGGAGACCATCCAGAGATGCAGCATGAGCATGCACAAAGCCTGTCTTCAGGCACGGGCTGCTCAGCATGGCCTGTCAGGTCAGGGCACACAGGAGCAGATACTCTCCTCTTTGCCTGTGAGGCACAGTGTGGCGCTTGCAGCCTGGCGAGGGCAGCACAGGACCAAGCGTGCAAGGGGCAGACGAGCAGTGCAGCTGGACCCCAGTTTCACTCTTTGTGGCTGCAGAAGTTGGTGTTTGGTGCCTCCAAACCACATCTGGACCTGGCTTTGCTCACAGCCTTGTGCTGAGGAAGATGGGCTGCAGAGAGCTGGAGGTGACAGCAAATGCGGAGGTCTGTTCCTGGGTGTGAGATATGTGGTGAAGGGAATTAAGGGAACACCCTGATAGGGGTGATGGATGGGCTGCTGATGGGGGTGATTAGGCAATCAGGGGGAGGCATGTTGCCTCAGTGGGTGGAAGAAGGAAGGATGCTAAGGTTCCGTTCTGCCCTTGCACAAGAGCCACAGTCCTTGGAGCAGCACATTTGAAGGTAATTACATGTAATAAATACACCAAATGAGAATAGGGCTGCCCCCACCCCATTTATGGTGGCAGGAGCAGGTAATTTGGCTGCAGTTTCACCTCCCCTTCTCTCAAGAGTATAAGGTGGGCAGTTGAACCTTACTATAGTAGAGGGTGAGGATGTGATTTTCTATGCAGGCAGTGGGCTTGCTTTTCTCTCCAAAGCAGAGATGCTTCTTTGGTAAGATTTGCACTTCTGACTGTGACACAACACCTGGGTGAAACTGAACTTACTGAGTTACCAATTGGTTTGTTTGTTGGGTTTGTTTTTCTAATATGAGCTCAATTACTCACTGTCTGGCTTTGGGGTTTAGTGCTACTGCAGTAAGTGAATTTATCAGTGGCAATGCTGAATCTGGATTTCTGGTGCTTTATGTTCAAGTGGGTTTGTGCTACTGCAAGATGTACCAACCAGTTCTGCTGCATCCCACCCTGCTATAAGGAAGGGCATCAGGCCTGGTCTCGTGTCTGGAGCCATCAAGCACACACTCACTCACATCCCACGGTTGGCAGTGACTCCTTGAAGTCATTTTTCACGTATCGGTAGGCCAGGCTTGACTTTCCCACTGATGTGCTCCCCAGCAGAACCACTTTGTAGGGGTAAGTTGGATGAATCCCCTCCAGGGAGGTGTCCAGCACTTCTTTCTGTGCCATGCCCTGTAAGGAAACCAACATCATTTGATGTGCATCTGCAGTGATCAGCCTGTCAGCTGAGCCTCCTGCATCAACTCCTAACTGGTCTCACTGGGGCAGGTGGGGCATTCGAGCCTATTCTAACCTCAAAATAGGCTAGAATAAAATCATTAATCTCCTGAATCAAATTTATTAAGTTAAAATACCTGCCACTGTCAGTAATGACCAGAGGGTGGAGATCTTTAGAAAGAAACTATGCCTTCTTCTTGGATTGGGTGCATCTACTGCATACTGGAAAAGTTGACAGCAGATGGGCATCACTTATGGGTGTGCCTTGCTCCTGAGCACACCTCCTTCCCCAAAGTGCTGGGGAAGAGCTTAGGCTCTTCATGTCCCACATTTATTGTGCATCCTGCTCAGAAGTTAGACCAGGGGAGCCTGACTTGGGCTGGAGGTGACCTTGGGTGCAGAGGTGATGCTGCTGCCAGTTTGCCCAGGAAATGGCTGTGCACCTCCACAGCTGGTGAGTTTTGTGTCAGCTCTGCTTCAAGTCAGCATGGTGCTTGCCAGGGTGAAAAAGCCAGGACTGAGGGGACCTGGCTCAAGCAGCACATGGCGGTGACCAGGGAACGGTGGGAGAGCACTGCCCCAAATACAGTGGTTGCCTCAAACCTCACCTGAAAAGAGCGCTGGCTGTACCCTGGGAAGGGATGGCTGGTGGGAGCCCTCCTGGCTGGCACATGTCCCCTGCTCCCAGCCTTGAGCTTAAGGAACTGACACTACCCTGCTGTCCTGCAGCTAGCCAAAGCTTTGCCCTGGCTTTTCCTTACAGGGCTCCTCCTCCAATCTCAGCTCACATGGAGAGCTGTAGGAAAGGAAGATTCATGCATAGCTTGCAAAGGAAGGGTCACAGGGGGTTGGATTGAGCAGGAGAGGGTGTGAGTAGACCTTACAAGCTCTTATCCCATGTCACATACAGCAGCAAAGGGGAAATACACCACCAGCAAGCCTGTAACTGTGTGCAGAGATGAGATGTGCCTTTATCTGATCTAACACCCAAAGGCAGCAATGGAGCTTTGTGAAGGATACTGAAATGTTTGTGCCCTACTGCTGTTCTCTGCCTGTGTGCCCTGATGCCCTTGCTGCTATCCCATGCCAGATGTAGAGTCTCCCATGCCTGGGTGAATGTTGCTGGCATGGGGTGCTTCCCTCTGTGTGCTTTCTGAATAACTCCCTGGTCAGCCAGACAGTGCAGGTCTGTGGGACGTGCAAGAAAGAGTCAGTGCCATTACTCCAGCTTCTGCCTGGGGCTCGCAGGATGTGGTGTGCAGAACCTGAAAATGAGCAAGGCATATCTCTATAAAGACACCTGAGAGTGGCCCTGCTCAGGGAAGTCTCTGTAGCTCACTTGTCTGACAAAAGCCTCTTGTTCCTGCACGCTGCTCATCCCACACATCCCTTATTTTGCCCATCTTCCCCTGCAATCTGGCAGGCTCCAGGCCTTTAATCACTCTCCCTTTCCTGAGCTGTTACCAGAGCAGGCTGTCATTAAGATCATTCCTCAGTGCTGGGGGAACCCAGGTCTCTATCTTTAGACAGAGGTGGTTTTTCTGCTCAGTGAGATGCGCTTTCATCCCCCTGAAGACCAGGGGTAAAACCCTCTCCTGCAGCTCATACAGCCCCGTGATGAAGAGCAGTCACAGTTTGTACAGCACAGCCCATGAGGGGTAGGTTATATTTTAGGTACAGCATAAGGGTGCTCCTTATGGTATTTAATTACATACATTTGCCTCTCTGTAGGCCTGGAAGCCCTTTCTGGGCAGTTACATTGGTTACTGCTGCTGATAAGCCATAAACCTCTCTAGGGAAGCAAGAAACTGCATGAAAACATTGTCCAAATTCAATTTCTCATGATTTCCCTCTGCTGCTCTCTGTATAGCACTAAAGGCTGCACTGATGCTTGAATGCAGGTCCCAGAGAACTAATCCAAGGACAGAAACTTCCTTGCAAGCTTTTCATACTAGCGAGCACCTATTGGAGAGTTTTGCCAAATCTCACCTGAAACAGTATATTTTCCATGTTTTTTCCATGTTAAGAAGCAGAAGGTGAGTCTCCCTTTCAATTGAGGAGAACAAGGGATAAAGACAAGTGGCTTTATTCCAATTCAGTGAAAATAGGATTTAGGGAAAACTGTTTCCTTTGCCCTTGTTTGTTTGTTGAAGGAGTTCACAGAGTGAAACCTTGTGCTCACTGGCTAATGGACGATGGGAAAGTGCTCCAGACACCTCACACAGCTGGTAGTCACCCTTCTGTGGCTGCTTTGGGGAACAGCTTGTCAGGGAGACCACAGTTAGGGTTACAGCTGGCTCTGCAAATCCAGGATGCTGCTCCAGCAGGGTCACTGACTCCTGCTCCAGGAGCAGATAATGGTGCTGGGGCCTCACAGCAAACAGCACCCCCCTTCTTTCAGCCGGAGCCTGTGCTGCCAGCAAAGCAGAAGCTCATTCTTTACCTGGAAACCCCCCTGACTTGCCTGGGCTAACGGAGCACATCCAGGAGGAGTATTTAAAGCAACTTCCCTGCTGACTCATGTGAGTTCAGCCCCAGCCGAAGACATCTGCATGGCAGATAGCTCCTGTCAGGGGAACTACCATGTCTGACTTAGCTCGCTGCAGACTTTACAGAAGTCACCAATGCTTCTGTGCAAAATGGCTTTAGCACATTTACCCCGTGCAGGAAATGCTGAGGGGTAACTTTAACTGGGACTGCTGGATGCTGGATTTGGGGGCTTTAGCTTGACCCTGGCAAAGAATAACTTGTCAATGTAGGGAGCAGCCTGGGGAACAGCTGAGGTGTTACCAGTCCTGTCCACCCGCCTAGAGGCCATGGTGAGTGGCAGCGAAAGCTGAACATGCTCAGATTCAGAATAAAGAGACAGAGATTAGACTAATTTCAGTCAACTGTAAAAAAAATCCTGTTTGTGGATTTAGTCTCCAAATACAGCTTAATATTTGTGACCGCTGGGTCTTGCAGCAAATATTCAGGACAGACTTGACTCATACTCACCTAGGAGGTGAGCACTGAAATGGCCATGACAGATCATTTCTCACTTCCTAAAGGAGGATGAAGCATCATTGTGCCCAGGAAATTGTGCTCTCAGCCAGCCCTGTTCCCTTGTCACAATGTCTCCTATCTCCTTCCCGTGGGCAATGGGTGGGCATGAGGACACAGCTCTGACTAGTCTTAATCAGCTTTCCCTATGGAGCCCACTTTTTTAGTGCAAATCAACTTAAGGGCAATCTGTTTGCTGGGCACAGCAGCAGCGCTGGATCAGTGATGCTACATTTGAACTGCCTGCCCTTGCTGTTCCTAAGAAGGAGCCTGACAAATCTGTTTCTGAGGGTGACTCAGTTGCTTATAATTAGCAGGAAAGTGAACTTTAGATAAGGAGCAGCCTCTCAAACTCTTATGGGCATAGAAATCAGTAATAAAACCCAGAAGAGTGAGGCGGCAGAGCAGGTATTTGCTCTGGAATGCAACCACAAGGGCTTGGCTTTTGCTACTCAATAGATTAGTATCTCTGAAGCATATTTAACCTGGGGAGGGGTATCCTGGGGGATAAGACTTTTATTTCCAAAGGAAAACAGTGAAGAAAGAAAAGATAATGCCCACCTTTGGGGATGGAGCTGCTCAGAAGTGGTATTTAAGACTCTATTTAACTTCCCGGGAAATTAATGATGTTTAAGTCTAATGATGTCGAACTGATGTCTAAGCTTTTCTACACAAGCTTTAAGAAGATCCTAAAGCCATTAAAGACACTTGCTGAGTTTCTGCAGGGGTACAGCAGTGAACAAGAGCCACGGTTAATAGGACTCCAACGTAGGTTTACACAGGTATCCAGCTCTGCAAGTTTCAGACATGATGCTTTAGATTCTTTCAGACTTAGTTTTGTTCCCCCCCCCCCACTACCCCCAGATAGTGGCCATGCACCTACCTCCACAGTTAACTTCAAGTATTCAGCTCAAAGCCCTTCTCTGGTTTTGGGAGCCTCCTCCTATCTTCTTAAAGCTCTCGTGGTGCTGGTGTAGGAGCGCAGCTGCTTGGAAAGTTCACTTAAGGCAAGGTTACACGGGGGTATGAAAATCCCAACTGCAAAGGCTTGTACATAAACACTGTTAGATTTACACAGCGCTTAGTTCTCATCCTCAAAGCTAAGGGGAAGAGAATAAGGGTCATTACCTGTGCAGCCAGTTAGTGACCCTTAACCAGCAAGGAGAGAGCTTTAGCAGACAGAGTGGGTTGGGGAAATAAGGCAGTGATAAAGAGAGGCTGCCCTGCGCTATGGATGAGACCAAGTGTTCAGCTAAGACCTTTGCTTCAGCTCTTCAGAGAGGATGGGGTAGGGCAGAGGGCTTCCTGAGTCTCCTTAAAGCCCTCTTCTCTTGGACAGGAAGCCACCGAGCATGGTGCCACCCCCATGCCTGTCTGTGGCTGGGATGCAGGGCTTCTTCCTGATGGGACATCGGGAGTCCTGGGCTTGTCTGGAAAGCGCACCCTGAGGGTGGTGCCTGCGGCTGGGGTCCTGCCCTGCCCTGCCCTGCGTGGAGCCTTCCACAGGGGCACCGTTACCTTCCTGAAGAAGCCTTACCCTGCTCCAAGCTCTCCCGTCCCTGCCCTGACGTCCGGTAGTGTCCAGTTGCCCGAGCCCTTCCGCACCCGGGCAGGGAAGAGTGAAGCCAGGCAGCAGCTCCCAGGGAGCGGTGCCAAAGGTGAGAGCTCAGTGAACCTTAGACCCGCTGCCGAGATGGGTGAGCCGGGTCCACAGGGCTGCCGCCACGGTGAGAGCAGCGGGTGGCCATTCCCCTGCACCCAATCCCTGCCTCTGCCATTCCTGCTCCCCACACTGGGGTTTGGCCATGGGTGGATGGGGGTGAATGGATGGGAGGGTGAGGTTTCCCAGAGTCTCAGGATTGGAGCCAGCCCAGCTTCCCGGCGCATGGGCAGCAGCAGCAGCCGCACCTCAGGGACCGTTCCTATAACACAGCAATCTCTGCTGACGCACACTAGCCCTGGCTTTGGTCTTGTGCCAGGGTATGGGCTCAGATAACTTGGGAATTGCTGAAGTGATTTGCTTCCAGGAGCGTGGCTGCTTTACCAGCTGGTGGGAGGCAGCGCGGTCGCTTCTCTTGCAAAGCCTTCAGCAGATGAGCTGGGGAGGTGCAAAGGGAGCCAAAACTCAGTGCCTGGGTTTTTACTGCCTTTTAATTAAGGCAATAGCTGGTTGCCACAGGCAGCCGGGGCCTGCTGCTTTGGAGAAGGCTGCTCTTGTTAAAGCTCAAGTATCTTGAGAGAGAAATCGTAGTGTGTTAATGCATCAGGGTAACAGGTCTGGAGTGAGAACTGGATCATTAAAAAGCTAAATGAAGATGGCTTTTGTGTTTCTGCCACTCATCATAGTCAATGTCTTTCCTTCAAATAACAGCTCCTGTAGCTTTCTGGGACTGAAACAGACTTTACAAAATCTAATCCTCACAGTTACAGGGAGCAGAGTGAAAAGCAGGAGTCCTACAGGCAAGCCTGAAATCACATCTTCACAGTTTATAAATGAAGAGCCTGGCAGGGTCATGGAGCAGGTTCTCCTGGAAAGCATGCTAAGGCACACAGGAAACAATGAGGTGGTTGGTGAAATTTAAACAGGGGCAGTCCAGGTTAGATCTAAGGCAGAAACTCTTCCCTGTGCACAGGGTGCCCAGAGAAGTGATGAATGCTCCACCGCTGTCAGTGTTCAAGGCCAGACTGCACAGAGCCTTGGGTGACATGGTCTGGTGTGAGGTGTCCCTGCCCATGGCAGGGGGTTGGAATTGGGTGAGTTTTAAGGTCCTTTCCAACCCAAACCAGTCTGTGTCCTGTGACTGCAAGGCCTGGCTGCTGCTGCTGCTGCTCAATTACTTCCCATTTCTACGCTGAAATGCCTTGTAGAGATGCCAGAGAGCTGCACAGATTTCATATGGTACCTGTGCCCTTCCAAGTGGAATCACTATGAGAGGTTTTGGTCCGTGAGCCATATCAGAGTGTTTCCTGTTTTCCTTTCTTTGGGAATGTGTCTATGCATGGATTTGCACCATCACAGCAAAACTGGCTTGAGTACAAGCATAAATACCTCCAGCCTAAGAGCCAGTCTTACCATGCGTGCAGCCTTTTTGCCAGAGGGAAGGAAAGTGTTTTCCTTTCCAGGTCCCTTTAACTTGTTTCACAAGGCTGTGCTGTGAAATAAGCTGACTTAAAGCCTTATTTTTTTTTCCAGGGCTCTGGAGAGTTCTTCACTGTGAGTTTGTGTGACCCTGTGAGCAGTCACAATGGCACAGCAGAGAGGTAGAAAGGTGTTTCAGGGCCTGGAAAGGATTGGGGACGTGGATACACTTGTCTGTGATTGCTGCAGAAAGAATCCTTGCCCAAAGCAATGAGCAATGCTGAAAGGCAGTTTGCTCCCATTTACCCACCCTTCTGTACCTACAAGCTGTGGTAACATCACGCACCTGAACTAAGCATTGAATGCTTAGCAAATGAGGCTCTCAGTCTTGGCTGGGAGGCTCTGAAGCCTTATGAAGGGATTGCTTTGCAGCTTCTAAAAGAAACTTCATTTCCAATTTGCACTGCCGCAATAAGCATCCATCTCATGCTCTATTATTTTCATAGCAGTCCCATCTACCCAAGCAGATGTTAAGTCTCAGGTGCCTTTGTTTAAGGGCCTTTATAAAGGAGATGGCTTAAATGAGATGCCCGCACAAAGCGCTATGGCCTGACTGGTGCAAGTAGCCTGGAGCCCTCCGGAGACACGGGAGCGTTTCCAGTTTTGTGCTGGGCCCTCCTGGGCAGGACCTACTCCGGCTCCCGTGCAGCCAAACCCCACTAGGTGGCACTGGGGTTTAAGACAGCAGGGATGCATGCCAGTCTCATTTCTTAGCCGGGCAACGGGACAGAGATCAGTCAGTGAGGGTGATGGGAGGGACAGACTGAGGTCTCCTGCAAGAACTGGAGCTGGACAGCCAGCTTTGATTTGGGTGGGCTCTGTTCCCCGAGCAACGGGGACTTGGGAAGCCAGACTGTCCATTGTCTGAGAGATGGGTGTGAGGAGCTGAAATGGGGCTCCATTGTCTCAAGGAATGGTGTGAGGAATTGCTGTCCCATTATCTCAAGGATTGCTGACATATGTGTGCAGTTGAAGAGCTGGCTGCAGGACCTGGAATGCATGTGTTCCACCAGGAATGTGCAGTATGTGACATTAAGAACAGAGGTGCTTCCCCCTAACATATTATAAAAGGGGAAAAAAGGTACTTGCTGAGGGGCCACCCACCACCGGAGACAACCATGAGCCCTTGGGATGCCACTGGATCCATGGTGGTGACTATCCCTCTCTGCACTCCAAAAGTTTGATTAATTTCTATGCTTTTCCCTGATCTGTCCTGTTGCTATTCTTTTTTTATATAATTATCTTTTTATAATCAAGTGCCCAATTGCAGTACTTGGCCTTATTGGTGTCTTAATTTCACTCTGGGATCACAAACAGAGTATTTCCAACACTGGGTTTTATCCAGTTGGACCCTGACGGATGGGTCTGGCCACAGGGATCGGATGGGTCAAACACTCCAGCCCAGCACCTGAAACCCCACTGCAGACCTTCCCATTGCTTCACCTCTTTGATTTATTGATTTTTAGCTGTGAAGGAAATGGTGACATTTCAGTTGGGCACAGGAACACCAGAACAAGTAAAAATAAGATCCCCAGATTAAGTATGCAAGAGTAATTCCAATAACCTCCTATTTCTGCCTCTGCCTGTTGTGTAATTTCGGGAACACTGCTTTTCCTTCCCCCTTCTCTGAGTAAAAGGAGGCACAAAGACACAGATGTTCCCGAAGCAGCCTGGGGCCTCCTGCAAGGCTCTTTTTCAGTGGCTGGGTACCACTTGGTTCCTCCTGACTCTGGCTGGTGTGAGGAAGCATTAGCTCATGGATGTGAGCACTGTAATAAGTCATCCCTTGCTTAAGGAAGAGAGGTTGGGTGGAAAAGGCACCAGAGTCCAGTAATAAGGCAGTACCCTGAGCAGAAAACAAAGTCTAAAACCTCAGCATTGCCACTTGTCTGCTGTCTGCCCGTGGGAAGGGTTATTTTGTCTCCTGTGCCTTGTTTCTTCTTGCTCCCTTTGGCTCGTCATCTGGGTTTATGTGTGCTTCTCAGTGTGCTTTGTGCAGGCAACCCAGTGCATGAGGTCTGATCTCCATCGAGGCTCCTGCACTGCTGAACCAACAGTAAGGCTAACTGTCAGCCTCAGCTTAAGCGTTTTTGGATCCCTGTGGTCCCTCAGTGCCATGAAGGTGCTCCTGAAAGGTCAGTTTTCATCCAAAACACACCCATTTTTTCTAATTCGGTTTAAGAGTGTTTCAAGAGCATGGCTGTGGTCTCAGCACTGCTGCTCAGCAGAGCACTGTGCCCCTTGCTTGGGTACCTCAAGGCTCCTGTTTTCTGCTTACAGCACAGCGCGGCTGCACTGTCTTGCATGGGGACAGGAGGCTGAGACTTCATTCCTGAGCCTGGTTGGTCTGAGCCACAGATACCCGAGTGTCTGAGATGCCTGGGTCATCCCATTACGCTGCTGCCTGCCTTGCCCTTGCCTCTTGCTCTGCAGTAAAGGTCTGAAAACACAAGAGGATTTTCTGGTGGGTTTTGTTGCTGGTGGTGGTTTTGGTTTGGGTGGTTGGTTTTGGTTTGTTTTGTTTTTTTTTTGGTGTTGTTTTGTTTTTTTTTCCCCCCTGCCGAGGGATGCAGAGGAGCAATAAAAAAAGAACAACAGTTTTATCTCTATTGAAAGTGCTTTGTGACGCTGTTCTGGCCTAAACCACAGAGCTGGGGTTTGCTAGATCTGCTCTAATGTTATACCTGCACCAACTGAAGCTGCAGCAGCAAGGATAGAGCAGTGTGAGCTCAATAGATACGGTGGCCTGGAAATCCTTCCTTGCTTTTTCAGAAAGCCACATATCTATAATGCATGTGCATACGTATGCAGGCATTTTAGAAAGTATGGGCTGCATATGTGATAGTGGCTGAATCCTGCTATTGTCCTGTGCCCTACTCCAGTGGCTTTAGGGCTCTGGGCTGCACTGAAATGCCCACAGTGGCCACAGGTTACTGCTAACCTGATACAAGCATCTGCTGCTGCAAACTGCTCTCTTGATAGGCTCTGATGGGCTGCCTCTGTATTAACAGGCTTTCTGAGAGCATTTCCTGTCATCTTGATGCAGGCGCAAAAGCAGCATTTGCTGTTGTGAGCTCTGACTGGACAGAAGTGAGAGTATGGTCAGATTTGGGCATGCAGATCCCAGAACTGATGTTCATAGGAACGTGGCTTTTGTTATGACCTTGCCTAAGTGATTTTGGCTCCTG